GCACGCCTCCGCACGTACTTGTTTTCTTTCCAATTGCGACTCGTGATAGAAATGTCGGTGGACTCGAGGAGCTCTTCAGGCCAAGGTCCGCCGGCGGGGAACCCCTCTTTCGATTCGCGAGGCCGCGAAAGGAGCGACCCGCGTCAGTGGCTCTCACTCGTTCCTGGAGCTTCTTCTGAAAAGTCCCTTACGCGATGGGAATGTTAGTTTGACGGTCGAATCTCCCGTTGCGCCCCATATTTCCCCGACATCTGTCACACGGGCTCGTATAATGAAGCGAGTAAGTGGCCGGGCGGCTCATTCAATGGCGTCGATGGGTTCCGGTCCCTCGTGGTGTGCCCTTCCCCCAAGAGCTCCTCCAACACCCAAACAACACCGTGTGGCAACGCCGAATCGTGTTTGTGAGCACGAGTCGGTCTCCAAAAATAACCGGCTCGAATTCTATCCGCGCGCATTTCTGAGATCTCCCCCTTCTCTGCACCCGGGAGAAGCGAGCCAAAGCGACGGATTCCGTCGGAGGTCACGTCGATCGCGTCGGTTCAAGGAAAATAAGAGCGAGTTCCGGGTAACGCTCTTGTTGACCCAGCAGTGCTTTTCAAACATAGAGAAAAATCCCTGCAGAGGAATTTCGAGCAGGATAAGTTCTTCACGAAGCGTGTATCTACCCTGTAGTAGGAGCGACCGCTCGCGGAGGAATATTGCTGACGCTCACTCGGAAGAAGTCATTTTCATCACACCGCTACGATTTTCGACTGACGTTCGGCTTCGCTGAGGCTGACGATTTCAACGAGAACCGGTCGATCGGCAATAGTTCCCTCAGACTGCTCTTGGGAACTAGGATCGATATCACCGCGAGCGAACATAGAAATCTGAATAATCAGAACGAGGTTATTGTCCGGCACTACCAGCCAGTGGGCAGTTGAGAGTCGTCCGACGAGGCGGGCGACTTCTGTCTCTCATTATTCCTGTAAAAGTCCGACTTTGCATTTGGGCTGACCCGGGCAAGAACGAAAACTCCGTCTAGAAAATTCGAAATCAGAGAAATCACTCGCCGTGAGAGAGCCAGACTTGAGCTCCATCATGAAACCGAATCTGTGCAGACTTGAGAGCTTTACTTTATGAGCGAGAACGATGAGCGAGTCGTAGACTTCAATTTTCGCTGTTTGCTGTCATATCGGTGAAAATCACAGATTTCCTCTCGCAACCGATTTCTCATTTGACGCGCGCCAGGATCCTCGGACAACTCGGCGGTCCGCTCAGTATCCTCGCAAATCGGCGAATTTCACCGTGGCCGCCGACACCAAATCGTGCGTGACGAAGAAGAAGCGTACTGATTCGGACTCTCCGCCCCCCTCAGTGAGCGCTGTAAAACGGACAATCATTCCCTCGGCCCGAAAACAAATACAAAGTATTTTCAAAACGTGTACATTTAAGGCATCCGTGGCCAGTTTGGACTTCCAACGGTTCAGCTACAACAAACGATTCGTTCCGTGCTCATGTGGGAGTTTCAGCGCTCCATCATGGAACCGACATCCCGTCGGACCGTCGTTTGACAACATTCTCCGCGGGCTAAATATCAAATCACGGACAATTGTTCCGCAGTCAGAGCGCTGCTGAGCCATCCGCGGGTGTTCACGAGGATGCCTTGACGATGAAGATCATCAGGTGTCGAATTATTTCTATCCGACCGAGTCGAGTTCCGATTTCTTCTCTCGTAGAGCACGCGATCCTTTCCATATTCGTCTCGAAACTCCGGTATCAGTCTCACAGGGAGCTCGAACTTCGAGACGAACTTCTACTGCGGGCTGTCGCGAAACGAAACCGAGCACAATCTGATGGCTTCACTAATGACAAAAGGAAGGATTCTTGAGACATTTCGCATGACTGTAGATCTCGCCCACGCGGCAGGGTCCAAAGCGAAAGCGGCTTCTCTGCTTGTCGCTAGATGTTGTCTCGCCCTCGCTGATAGACAGTAGGGCATTCCGCTGCGACGATTGAGCGAGCGACGTCGATCCGGCATTAACATTCGGAGCTCGGATCCACGTCCGGATGGCCAGACCGAAAACGTACACGAATCTCGTCCATCCGCTCTTCAAAAGACTGCACGGAACTCGGCAAGTCTGTACTTCGCTATCCCACGATGAACGACTCCCACGGCGGGATAGATCTCCCAGTCTGCCTCATAGAAAAGGCCAGAAGAAGAACACTTAATCACCCCGATCACTAGCATATCTCTCCTTCCACGTCTCCCATGCATAATATGTGGATCCGGACCGGTTTCTCACCACGCAGCGCAGTGTTGTTTTCTACCAACGAGCAGAAGCCGTCCTCGAGACTGGACGGATTGCGAGCCGGCATCCTGGAAGCGTCGCGCAGGTTGTCCGTAAAGACTGAGAGCTCACGAAAGAAGAAAACGAAGGAGACAGGTCTGAGTGAGCGCGGCAAGTTAGTGGAGCAGCTCCACGAAGCAGGATTCTGCCTTCGATTCAGCGCTGCCGAGCGTGACGGACCGAGCGGGGTTAATTTGCTTCTATTTGTCAATGCGCGCTCCGCGTTCCCGGCGACGAAGACGAATTAAAAAAACAGGGGCTCAACGAGACTACCTTACATCGGAGAAGTTCGCCGTGTATTCTATTTCCTATTGATCGAAGGGTCCATGATCGCGACGCGCTCCAATGAGTCCGCCGCCGTGGGAATTCTTCTCCGAGGAAGAAACAGACACTTCAATCGGAGGAGCCTAGTCCCAGGACGGAGGGTTCGACTCCGAGCCAGCATGCGCTGAGAAAATGAAAAAAGTATATTGCCCTCGTCGGACGATTACAAAGGCTGAGTTGAAACAGATCGCTCAATCGCGGAGCTTTCGATGGGTCACACAATGAAGACCGATGACGATACAGGTCTAATATTTCGATCGACATGGAGAAGTTGGCTGGCTGCCGAGGTTGCTGTCTCCGACGGACTACAACTCCTACAAGGAGAATACCAACAAGTCGGTGATTCCAAGATTATTCAGCTCTCTCCCGCGGAAGCTCGCGGGTCCTACATGAAACGAAGGCGGAAAACGGTCTCCGGTGAGCTTCCTCTTTGCAGCGCTCTCGGTGCTCATACCGCCGCTTTCCTCTGAAGGGCGCAACGATGAAACGGAAAAACTCGAAAAAGAAGTCTTTTCGAAAGTGAGTATAAACGCGCTCCACGAATTTTTGCTGTTCCGTATGACAAAGCCAGCCGGGCTCTCAGTCAGTCTAACCAGACAGGGAGCCTCCAGTCCTGAAGTGTTCCTGCGGAAAACGTTGAACTCTTTTCCCAGTCGTTCTCGGCTTCCCACGACCTCATCCGGCGGAGCCTCGAGAGTTTCCCTCGGTGGCAGAGGGTCATTATTAATCAATTGGATTCGAATCTACCATTCCGCTTGGCACTCTAATTACGCCCGCAAAGAGACTTTATTTTCTTTTCCGCATAACGCCTCCGGGCAGCGCGTCAATACGCTGGAACAAGAGTATGCACAGAGCGGGAGCCTTACCTTCCACAATACGACGAGAGCTCGTCGGATGCGTCTTATGCAAACATTCACTCTTGTTCAACCGAGATGGAGCTACACCGCTATAGAGCTGAGAGTACGGTTCCGACTTCTTTTCCGGATAGAGAAAGCGTGCTTATATCGAGATCTTCCCAGGGAAAACTGCCACGGGAGCCCGGGAAATGTTTCTCACGTGGAGCACCGTGTCAACGGAACGATCCGGAGAGGGTTTCGCTCGGCATGGAAAAAATTCTCGACCTTCGGTCTCGATAGAATCCTCCGCAAGAGTGAGCCTCATTGAGTTCAGCATTGTTTTCACTTTTCGTTAATGCAATTGTGCTGCGATGGACGTGACTGCACTGTTGTCCAGTGGATCCGCGCAGCTATCTCCCATGTGCTCACTCCCTCTTCAGCCCCTCGGTCTTTTTCTGGTGCTCACTGTACGGCGGCACTGTTCTTCTCGAGTCGGGGAGGACAGAAGCGGAGTCGACTGTTGGTTCCACAGAAACGACTACGCGGGCGGGTGGATGATCTCTAAGGATATTCTGCCTGATCGTCGACAGCTCAATCATCGATCAAATTCAGGCTGACGATTCTCCGACCTGCAAGCGATCGCTCCGAACGTGCCGAGTTGAAATGGTGACACGGAGATATCTGAAAGCGAAGCTTGTCTCGCTGTCTGCTTGTCTCTGCTGTGCGGGGACGGTCGCGCCCTAAAAGGCCACATCAGATCCAACACCGCTTTTGGGTTCAGCTGCTGTGTACGTAGGCGATTTCTTTGGAACAGACAACAATTCCTTCTTCTCCTCCCGACTCGATCTGGACACATTCAACGACGGTAGCGCGAATGCAGAGCTTCCCCAGCTCTGCTCAGAAGAAAAGCTGTCTATGCAAAATCACATTGATCTCGCCTCGGAACTGTGCATCTCTCTCTCTCGGAGATTCACGACTAATCAACCATTACTTGATGAGGAGCAGGCAATCGATCATGATGGTCCCGATGATGGTCCCGCAGAGAGATGATCCCTGAAACTCATCTGTGTCGTGAACATTGTGAATATGTACGCTATTTTGTGAGCCGCAGTATAAGTTGAACGAATTTGGTGCGTTGAAATTTTCTGGGCCCGCTGAAACTGTGAAACCCATCGTAAGCTTTGAATGATTTAGATTGCGGTCTGATTGTAGCGAATGGCGCACGGAGGGAGGTGACACCCACATCAATCGAGCGTCTTCAAACTTGCCATGGGAATTTCGGCAACGGTTCTATAGACAAACACCCTAGCACATGTTTCGCTGGCTCGTCGGACGATTCTCTCTCATCTGTTCTTTTCACTGCGTATACGACGCGTGTTCGTACTCACGGTATACCATGGCCGAAGTGTTAACGTGACGTCCAGTCCCTCGCCAGACTTCGGTAGCCCTCTCCTGAGCTCCATATTAAGAAATGGCCTAAGAGCTCCGGTCTGACCGGCAGCTCATTGTTCGACTGCTCGATCCGGCAGTCGTTTCTCGAACGCTTTTGTTGATTTTTACCTGAGTTTGTCTTCGAGAAGCCGTCGAGCAATGCGTGAGATCGTTCATATCCAGGCTGGTCAGTGCGGCAATCAAATCGGTGCCAAGGTGAGCTCCTTAATCAACGGGATCACTTCTGACTGAGCGATTCTCTGACATTCGGAACAGCCGCATGCGGCATTCGAATTTCGAAGCCGATTGCCTCGCCGATCAGCTGAGGCTGCCACTGTCACGGTGAATTTCAAGGGTTCTGGAGGGCTCCGATCTGGAAAGGCTCAGTCTCTGGTCCCTAATAGAACAGTCGCCAGTGATTCGGAATGGACTACCTCCGGATATCAATCCGGCGATTAGACTCAGTTTGAACTTCCAAGCTAGAAAGATCACGAATCTCGATCCAATTCCGGATCGATCCGGAGTTCTCGCCGGACGTTCACGATGAAACGACTCCGATCCTACGGGAACGGCTCCGTTCCGTTCCCAAGTTTATCAGCTGTGAACAAAATCTTGGCCATCCGTGACCCGTTTCGTTCCCGCTATACCAAAAAGTAGAATCAGCTCGTACCGTGGAATAGAACACGTTTCTCCGTTTTCAAACTGGGCGTCCGTCCATTCGTATGCAGCAGAGGCTCTATGTATTTTTAATTGCATGTTTGAGCAATGAAGATGAGTTCCGTGACTCACGACTCAGGTTCCTCGTCTTCGACGTCATCCGAAGCATGTATTTGCGCAAATCTATGTCTGTGTTTGCCGTCTCGCAGTCTAGGATGGCTGTCCCGGCCATGTCACAGAGGTCTGACAATTCATGTCATAATCAAATTTGAGCTGACTCTCGAATCTGGAAGTTTGCTCAGCGCAGCGTCGAGTATCGAGGAACGTACGTCGCTTCGTAGAGATTCACGTATTCATTCAGCGTAGCCCCCCGCTCATCGTGTTTTCGAATTCTGTTCTGGAGTCTCAGGACTCCGAAGGCGGGGCTCGCCTTTATGTGCGGACTCGTTTCCACTACGAATACAGCACTGCATCGGGGGTTCCGATTCGTTTCCACCGGGGTATCCGCATTAGAAAACGCGCTCTCTGATCGAGAGATCAAGATAGGAAATGCCTGATCGCTTCTTCGATCATTCTTCGATCGTGCACTCTCTTTGAGCCGCAGACCCCGATCAAAATCATGGATCGAGTTTTCTGGTATTTTCCCTCTTATCGCTCGGCCGAAATCCTCCAGAATACCTCCCCGCTGCGCTCGGATCCGCTATAGCACCGATTATGCGTCTACTTCCGATTCGATCTCGTGGTTAGCACGATAACGCGCAATGAATGAGTCAGATCTGAACAAATCCTTGTATAGATGGAGGGCCAGTTTCGATCCAAACGATACGCCCACGTTTCCCCGTTTCGGTTTAGATGCGTGAGGGTTCACGGCTTCACGGCGATTCGGCGCTACGTTCCCGAATGGGACATGGACTGGCTGTCGTCGATGACAACAATCAGCCGATAATTCTCTTCAATGTTACAATCGAGCGGTCGAGTGATTACTTCTTTTCTTCTGGAGCCGCGGTCTAAAGCGGGACCCGACGGAAACCGCTCTAACAGAAGGCCGATGGGAGGGATTTTCGATGGAGAGACAGCGATGTCCATGGAGATCAATTCTCGGGGGAGCCCTCGCTTTTTGTGGGAGAAAATCTTTCCATCGATCGGAAGGACGATAAGTCCTCTTATGTCACCGGGAGGGTATCGCGGATCACGGACGTGATCGCTTTCAGGGAAATGCAACCAGTACGGCGGCTGCATCGGGCTGACGAGTAGTCTGGAACAGACACTCAATAAATAATCTCTTTGTTACAGTTCTGGGAGGTGATTTCCGATGAACACGGCATCGATCCTACCGGTGCTTACGTTGGAGATTCTGAGCTCCAGCTCGAACGTATCAACGTCTACTATAATGAGGCTGCAGGTGAGTGAGACTGATTTTCGCTGACGGACATTGCCTTTAAAGTTCACGGCCTGGCCGAGACAGTCTGCTACATTGTGTCACTCGCAATTACCTCACGGAACGATGTCTGATATTAGTTTATCGGCGTCTTCGCATCGCCTAGTCAAGGAGCTCCCGAACAACCATCGTGCGCGAACTCCAAAATTCAAGGACGAATCTTGCAGCATACGCCTCGATTTCATAGAGGAACGTTCTATGAACTTTAGGTTCCTTCTGTCGTTAAAAACTTTGTGCCGGTTCGGGTCGCCCGATTGGGGCGAGCTCTCGGATCTTACTCGAGACAGCTGTAGGCTTAATGAGAGCTAACCAATGCGGACAGCTTCTGTACAGATGGCTCAAGGCGGATCGCGAGGGAGCGGCAGCGGCGGCGAACTTCCGTGCGCCTAATCTGTTCGGTTCGAAATTCCCCTCCCCAGAGCTGAAAAAAAACTCTGCGTGAGGTCATGCGTCGTAGGGCAGTTCTGTAGCCGTCTGAGCGAGTCTAATTCCTTCGATGACCCTTCCAGGAGGCAAATACGTGCCCCGCGCCATCCTCTTGGATCTTGAGCCCGGTACAATGGATTCAGTCAGATCTGGGCCTTTCGGCCAACTCTTCAGACCGGACAACTTCATTTTCGGCCAGAGCGGAGCCGGAAACAACTGGGCGAAAGGACATTACACCGAGGGTGAGTTCGAGAATCCACCCGCAAAAGGTGAATCGGTCTTGGCAGCCCGTTTAGAATTAGCCAATAATTTCCTGTAGGCGCCGAATTGGTCGACTCTGTCTTGGATGTCGTGAGGAAAGAGTCCGAGTCTTGCGATTGTCTGCAAGGCTTCCAATTGGCCCACTCACTCGGCGGCGGTACCGGTTCCGGTATGGGGACCCTCCTAATCTCCAAAATTCGTGAAGAATACCCCGACAGAATCATGAACACCTTCTCAGTCATGCCATCGCCCAAGGTGGGTAATCCGCAGCAGACCGACTCGTTCACCAGCTAGTCTTCGCTCCCGTGGAAAACGAACCCTTCCTGACGACTCTCCTTGCCGCAGGTGTCTGACACCGTTGTCGAGCCCTACAATGCCACACTGTCAGTCCATCAACTGGTAGAGAATACCGATGAAACATTCTGCATCGACAATGAAGCCCTTTACGATATCTGCTTCCGGACCTTGAAACTTACCACACCGACCTACGGTGACTTAAACCACTTAGTATCGGTCACCATGTCCGGTGTGACAACCTGCCTCCGTTTCCCTGGACAGCTCAACGCCGATCTCAGAAAGCTCGCTGTCAACATGGTCCCCTTCCCTCGGTGAGTTCAAACCCCGCGACGCCTCGAGAGCTCCGTATGGAAATTTCCCGCCGAGAGATCGCCAAGAACTTTCGCTAAGAACATTCACGTCGAGCGCTGCAGTTTGGCCCATACGGTTGATTATACCATTATTCTGATGAGGGCTCGACGCTATCTGGATTCAGAATTTCCGAATTGTTCCTTGCAGACTCCACTTCTTCATGCCTGGTTTCGCTCCACTCACCGCTCGTGGATCCCAGCAGTATCGAGCTCTATCCGTGCCCGAGCTCACACAGCAGATGTTCGACGCCAAGAATATGATGGCCGCCTGCGATCCGAGACACGGCCGCTACCTGACGGTCGCTACCATTTTCAGAGGACGCATGAGCATGAAAGAAGTGGTAAGTCCGACCACCGTTGATTGTTTTCACATTTCGGTCGCCAAGTCGAAGCACGAGTCGTGCTATTTGGCTTACACGAATTCTCATGCCCTCTCTTTGCGAGACGTTCGTTCTCTCATTGATTACGCGGCCGGCCATTCGCTCGTCCGGTCCAACTAACCCATGGTCTTGGCTCTTCAAGGACGAACAAATGCTGAATGTGCAAAACAAGAACTCGTCCTATTTCGTCGAATGGATTCCCAACAACGTGAAGACTGCCGTCTGTGACATCGCCCCTCGTGGCTTGAAGATGGCCGCCACATTCATCGGGAACTCGACCGCCATCCAAGAACTGTTCAAGAGAATCTCCGAGCAATTCACCGCCATGTTCCGCAGGAAAGCTTTCCTCCACTGGTACACAGGCGAGGGAATGGATGAGATGGAGTTCACGGAGGCGGAATCCAACATGAACGACCTCGTCTCCGAATACCAGCAATACCAAGAGGCCACCGCCGACGACGAAGCTGAGTTCGACGACGACGAGCTCGAGCAAAATTGAACAGCATAACAAATGATACGTATCATTATCCGGAACACCTTGCGAGCTGCTTACTAGCGAGGGGGTCTTTCAAGCAATAAATTCCTGTGCATTTACACCATGCTCCGTGTCTTCCCGAAGTTCACATTCATTTGCGAGACGCGCGCACTAGTCGGTGGTTGCACCGCTGCGCCGCCCGGATGACCACGTCCGGGTTCATGAGGCTAACTCGGCTAACTCCGCTGACATTGCACATTGGCGTGCACGCTCTGTGCGAGTCGAGTACGCAATCAGTTATGAATCGGAAGGACGGCGAACAATGTTCCTCTTAACCTTTCGAACCTTGGCTGGCCCTGTTTATTAGCGGTCACCGGCTCCCCCTCGTCCAACAAACGGACATCAGAATACGTAACGAAGGGCAGCTGCGGCATTCGGCCGACACTCCCACCGCCTTTCTATTTGTCCTCGTAGGCTTGTTTATCTTTCGGACGATCAATCTTCCCGAGCGGACCACGGGATTCCGTAATTTCTATTCGACTGCAGTGAATGTCTCTCTCGGTGAGGCTACCCAGTCCTGTCCCCGGCTTCCCATGCGATTTGGTACAGATCAGCGACTCATGGCGAATAAACTTGGCTAAGGTTCAGTCCCATGGCCGATGCCGGATCGGAAGCAATGAAGCTCATTCATGGATTCTCCCCAAAACTGCTTCAACCAGAAATCTCATTGCGAGAATTCACGACAGTATTCTTGGACCATTCCTCCGAAACCTTCAGTGGGCCATGCCACGGAAATGCTCGGCGGGACGGTCGGGAACTTTCAACGAGCGACTGAATTCCAGCACTCTGGCGCTCTACCGTACGGGAACCCCACGGATACACGAGAACTCCAGACGGTCTCAGCTGGAGACGGATTGGTGAATGGGTGAGATTTGTCGAAAGCGGTCGCCAGCTCGTTCTCTGGGCTCGCGTGCGATTCTCCGCACTGATCACATTGGACGCTTTCCAAATGTCGCGGTTGCCGCCATTGTCAAGTGAACGGGATCGTGCGTCTGGAGTTTGGCATATATCTCGCAGAGGGGCTGTGCCTCGCTGTGGAGAATATGTGGTGAAAGCACAATGCATCGAAGTATCACGGGGAATTGCGGCGAGGGCTCGCATTCGGCCGCCCGGACGAATTTCGAAAATATAGGCGAAGAAGCCGGGACCCTGTCGGGGGAAATCAAGCGGACAATTTTTCTGCTCAATAACCTCGGGCAACCTTCGCTCCGAATCCAGCAGGCACTCGTTTCGGAAAACTTCACTCGAACGAGGAAGCTCTGCGCCTAGAATAGACGGGGAGCTTGGAAGAAATCAGCGAAGACTTCTTCGGGCCTCACCGTATCAATCATAGCAGACAAGGGACCCTGTGCCCATGCGAGGTAGCGGGAGATCGCGGCGGCTGCACCGCCACATCTGAACCGCATGGCGTTTAATGAGCAGTTGTCCCGGTGATGGCATTATCAGCGGCCAGGACTCTGATATCGCAACTCTCTACGCTCTCTCGCACCAGGGGCACGTACACGGTTGCATAAGGGAGCAGAAGAGCTCCTCATACAAGGCAAGAAATCCTCGAGAAGGAGAAATCTGAAATTCGAGAGACCAACGTAGTCAACAGAATATCCCCGATCGCTTCAAGTTTGAGGGTCTTTCGTCAGCGGAATATCCTTCCGACGACACTTCACGCTGGAATTTCTTCTCGGGCCCGTAGACGAGGGCCCGAATGCCCCTCGGAGATAGAATCGGGCCCTCGGTGTGGATCTTCGAAATTATTGTATTCGAGGAACCGGGACTTTGAGCATCGAATTTCTTCCCATTAAATTCCGTCGGATCTTTGCACGTGACCGATCGTGCTACGGCTGTCAACGACCGCATTCCGTGTCCCAATTCAGAAGAAATCATTCGAAATTCATGAACTCCATGCATGTTTTGGTGTGTGGAGACAGTGGAGCGCTTCCCCGTACGGTGGCGTCGCCGGCGAAGCGTCGGAGCCTTGCACCGGAGCCTTTTTCCTCTCATCATTCGACGGATTCGGGAATTTTCCGGACTCCCGGGGCCAGCATGTGGAACCGAGGCAAGCCTCTAACTTGATCATGTCGCCGCGAGCAGACTCCGAGCCTGATAATTTGATGCACAATCCCTGAATACATTCTCTGTAAGCGTCATGGCAGAAGCGTGCGCACAGCCGAAACTCTTCATTCCTCAACAAGGTGTCAAAATGATGACAAGATGGATCTGGGTGAGTTTTGCCGCAATGGAGTTTCTTCGAGAACTTCAGGGAGGACGATTGAATCGCGGAACCTCTCGATCGTCACAGTGTGTGAGGAAGCTCTCGAGATACCCTTTGCGCTTCGTTTATTCTCAAGGAGGCAAGGCTCTTTCCGATGAGCCTCTCTATTCAGAACCTCTTTTCAACACGTGAGCCAAGATTGTCAGAACCCCGCGCCCTGCACGCCGCACGAATTCGAAAACTCTGTATCGGAGCTTCCCGAACCAAATGGAGTGCTCGGCTACGCCTCGTGAGTATTACTGCTTTCCGAGCAAAAATAAATTCATTCCAGCTCATGTTCTGGATCCTCGCGACTCCGTCTTTGCTTATCGAGAGCCACTCCAGCTCTCTTCCACCGAAAACTGGCAGCCAGGAAAGCGAAAGCTCCACTGAGCAGGTGACAGAGGAGGCCAGGGAGAAACCCATCGAGTCTGGGGAAACACCAGTGGACGAAACGTAAGTACGCTGTTCAATGCTAGAGAGATAAGCGAGGCCAGGGTGCTTCACCCTCCTTCTCCCATCTCAGGACTTCACATTTTTGAACCAAGATCGCTAAGGTTCGCATTTTCTCCATTCGACAAGTTCATAAGAGTGCGTCCCGTCAGGCGTTATTCTCCTCAACGTCCGTCAAGAAAAAGGAGCTCTTTCGTCCCCGAAGTTATTTGAATATACATATTAGGATGGGAGCCTCTTGTGGAGGCGGAAGTTCTTACCGACCTGTATAGATGGCCGAATATTCTACTTTTCGGACCCTCGGCCCCGTCAGCTATTCATGGCGGTGCGCGCCAAGGGCTCCCAAATGAGTCGTAGATCTATCCTCGAAGGGAACGAATAAGGGCCCAGCTCTTTTGAAGACGGATCCGCTAGCTCGCGACGCTCGCTCGACTTCCGTGCGCTGATGTCTGGTGTCCGCTCCCCTGAGCTGATGTCTGCGAGATTAGTGTTTTTCTTGACAGTCCCAGCTAGATATCTTAGCTTCCGGATGCTTTCACGGAAGTCCGGCTTCCTGCAATCTGTGGAATTCCCACCGAGAGCAAATGTTGTAAACAGCTTCAGTGAATAGGGAGTCCGGTATTGAAGCGTCGTACACACGCTCTTTCTTGCGTAGGAGCATGAAAGCTCAGCGATGGCGTCACACGAAGCTCTTCGTGGTAGCCTGAAACACGCGTTCATACGGGAAAGTCGCACGTTTTCCTTACATAAAGACAGCAACCCTACACCCGCTGGCTACCTTCAGCTCCATCTATGTAGGTAGTCCTGCCGGGGCTTCCCGAGCACTTCGAACGCTTCGGCTCCCACCCCCTACTCGGTCGCGGAGACCTAAGAAACCGCTTCGCGCCTCCTCTCTCAATAAACTCCGAGCCCGAACACTACGAGTAGATAATTCCGGGGTCCAAGGCATTCCCAGGCATCGCTTTTTTCCGATACAGCGTAGGTTTCTTTAGAGACGGTCACGGGAAGCTGAGCACGATACGAAGGGATCGGAACCCCCAAACCAATCGATCCCCAACCGTTTCCTTCGGTTCCAGTGACGCAATAACGATGTACGCTTCCGGAATCCCACCGTTTGTCCAGACGAGGCTCGGGGGAATAAACGGCATTCGGAAAGATTACTTGGGCCGCTACGTGGACACTTTCCTCGGAATTCCGTACGCGCAGCCTCCTGTCGGAACGCTCCGATTCAAAGCGCCGGAAGCTGCGTACGCCTGGCAGAACTCCATCAACGCAACAGAGTTCAAGTCAGCCTGTAGACAGACAGCGAGCGAATGGCCCCATCATCTCACGCGACACTCTGGATCCTGCTCTGAGGACTGTCTCTATCTCAACATCTGGACCCCGTCCGAAAAAATGGGAAAACCGCGAGCTGTTATGGTACGTGTGCTCCGATCATAAGACTCGAGTGATAATAACGTAATATGCGAAATAGCGTACGTTCATGGCGTTCGTTCCCTCACGGTATTTTATTCGCTCCTCGATATCTCTTTGCATTCCTATCTAGAGCATGAATAAATATCATCGCGCCGCCTCGGCCATTTCGCCTGCGTCATCTTCACGGTTATTCGGTCTTCTCCCGCAGGTTTTCTTCCACGGAGGAGACTTCATTCTCGGCTCGCCATCTTGGCCCGAATACGACGGTGGACTCATTTCGGCTTTCGGAGACGTTGTCGTCGCGTCGATGAGCTATCGACTCGGTCGGCTCGGCTTTCTCGATGCCAAGAGCCATAGTGCTCCCGGAAATCAAGGCTTACTGGATCAGAACATGGCTCTCCGATGGATCCACGACAACATCGAGTCCTTCGGAGGCGACCGTACCCAGGTTGTGCATTCGTAACCGATTCTCTCAAGGCCGGAGACGAGCATCTAGAAGAAATTATCCGCCGAGAATAGTACCGTCAACTAGTATAAATTCGAAAGCAGCGACTTCGAAGTTGGTCTCCGACCGCCGAATACGTGATTCATGGGCCGGAAAGAGAAATCGATTACCGATGACTCACAAGCCGGGCTAACCCTCTTGGAATATTTTATCCGGTCGACGGAGCGGACCGAAGGAACGTTGGAGCGAAAATGACGTGCACGGCACGCTCGTAACGTTTTGCGTCATCGTGGCCTAGCGATCGGTTTCGGGCATCATACAGCCGCCCCGTGAATATCTCAAGTGATACTATTAATAGATGTGAATGAATACTATTTTAGGTTACTCTCTTCGGTAACGATGCAGGGGCCGCATCGATAGGACTCCACATCCTTTCGCCGATGAGTGCAGGGCTCTTCAAACGTGCCATCTTGCAGAGCGGCAGTGCTTTCTGGAAATTGCGTCACATCAGATCTCCTGCAGGTTGTTGGGGAACGACATTGGAACGATCGACATTCATTAAAACCCACTGACGACGGGGGTGCATCACGCTGGGCCCGTGCCTGATATCTCTCGTCGGCTTTTTCCGCTGTCTAACTTACGGGAACCACGTTCACAGAAACCGTCCCTCTTGGCACCCAAGGTAGCTCCAAGGTTGAAAACTGTTCGGTTTTCCCTCGGGAGAGTCGATTCCGGCAACCAGACAAGAGGAAATTTTGGAACTCAGCCTACGACCACGGAGGCCCATATCGAGGTATGTGCTATTGACTTTCTATCGGAGTTTCCTTCGTTCGATACTATTCCGAGGCTCTGAATGTTGCCCGAATAACCATATGCACAGAACGAAAAGCGCTCCAATCGAAGAGAGTATCAGGGAAAGACTGCCTGCGCCTTGGCAGCTGTCTGAAGCTGCAGGGATGGAGGGAAGCTCAGCTCATTCCCCCGCTACACTCGTTTCGAAACAAAGTCGGAGAAATCCACGAGCGGGAATCGTGTGTGAACCAGTGTTGACGTCATGAGCGTCGTTCGGAACCTTTCCTCAACGCAGCGCAGACTTCTGACGTGAGCCCCCGCGTGCCCGGTCGACCTATCTATATATTTTGTGGGGGAGAATGCGGCTCGTGGCCAGACATATCGTATGACAGCACAAAGACATTGTTGATAGGGGTCTTCTCATCTAGGTTAGTCGGTAAGCGGCGGCATCGTCGGTCGGGCACGCGACCGTAGAGTCCTATGCTGAGCGGAAAGTTCCAGAGCTCCTGAGAACTCTTGAGCAAGACTTTGGGTTTTTCCACTTGAAACTTCACCTTTTTTTCTGATAGGAGCCTCCCCGCTTACCAGTGCCTGTCTGTCCCAGTGGATCAGAGAGTCCTTGTTTTAACCAGTGGATTGAATATTTGTGCAGGTCTCGATTATGGGGAAATTCCCTCGGGCAGGGTAACGGATGACATGTATGACGTCTACGGACCGACTTACGACAACGATTTTCTCCCTTTGAATCCGCACATGTCTGCCTCCATGGGAATTTTCAACGATGTCGAAGTGATGATTGGTGAGTCTCCATCGGAGGTCCGAGGGCTGCAATCAGCGACATAGATGAGATGGATGGGGGTATATTCCCGATTATTATTAGATCGGAAGCCTGAGGCGCCTTCTTTCATCCCCAGGTACCGCGAACAATGAAGGAGCTTGGGAATTCATGCGTTCAAATCAATGGAGGAATTTTAGCTCCGTCGAGAGTTTTAAAGCGATTAACCTCCTTAAGTTCATCAAGCACTTCTTCGAGGAGTTCCAATTCAAGAAACTTGTCGGTGAGTTCCGTCGAGAACGAGAGCAAAAACACTGGCGCAGTCGCTGCTCGAGAGATCGGGACAAAGGATGTTTGAAGCGAAAGAGTCAGATCCAAGGATCTCCGAGTCTGTGAGAACTTTCAAATGATTCTAAATCGTTAGGCATCCAGATGTCGCGCTCTATTCCCTTCTCTCCATCATGTTTCGAACGGGCTCAGTGAGACACACTCGGAGGAGCCGAAAAGCTTTTGGAGAACAGCCAAGTCTCATTTCGTACACGGGAAACTGTTGTGGGAGGATCGTTCTTCCGGCGTCAGAGCGATCATGTCTCTACTCGGTCAAGCGAATTCAGATCGACGGCGACGGCACAGCTTTCCGATTCGAAAATTCCTGATCTCAGATAGCATAAATTAAGAGAGGAATCGAGAAGCCTGACTGCACTCGACACCTAATTGGAGATTCCCCACCAGGTCCCAAGGCCACGGAGGGAATTTATCATTATTTTGCCTCGAATCTCCGCGGGAACGATATCCAGCATAACCGGCAATTCGTCTTCGACTTCATCGGAGACTACGTACATACGTGTCCATCGACTCACTTCGCGGAATTACTAGCGGATCGCAATGTCTCCGTTTACTACTACCGGTGAGTAGCTCGAGCAGATTCCCATGAATTCGATGATCGGCCAGGTGTGTTCTTGTCAATTTTGCTTGGAGCTTCACGACTGGCGCAGAATGTAGGTCGCGGCAACGCGGTTACGTGCCTTCGCCGCAAGTCGAAGCTCCTGTTCCCCCCACGGCTCGTGGCCAATTCGAAAATTACCGGGCATCATGGTTCCGAGAATGTGCTTCAATTGACTCTCCCCATTTCCGCCGGCCGGAACGAATGCCTCAGAGAGCTTTTTTTCCAAGTATTCTTCCTCCGGCTGCCTAACTGTGTTGAATCTTTATTACAGCTTCGCGCACGCACCCCACACTCATCCGGAAACCTGGCCCCTGTGGGTCGGCGCCACTCATTTCGACGAAGTTCCGTATGTGTTCGGAGCACCCTTGATGCGCTCAGCCGAATACTCGAATGCTGAGAGAGATTTCAGCGCATCGGTGATGGATGCGTGGACTTCCTTCGCCAAGACAGGGTGAGCTCATCTACCTCAATGAGGTCATCGAGGGAGCGCGAAGTGGAATCAGAGTCTTTTGGTGGAATCGCATCGCCACACTTTTTCTGCCTGCGCGGATCTTTCACAAGTTGATGCGGAAGAAGAGTTTTGGCTTCATCCGGTGAATACCTCGGGTTCTCTGAACTGTATCCGCGGTCTTATTCTGTATCTTGCAGGTTGCCAGTGACGCCCAGCGGTCAGACATGGCCGAAATATTCGAGAAAAAACCCGAACTACTTGAGACTTTCAACACAAGGTTTCAGTCGTCGAGATGCGCCCAGCAAAGAGAACTGTAATTTTTGGCGGAGTTTCAATAATTTCGATGTATGGAGCCACGTCCGTGGATTGGAGTGAAATCGAGGAAGAAGCCGCGGCTCCCGAAATCGACAAGGCTCATCTCTAGCTCGATACCAATATCGATCGAGGAATGAGTCACCGGCGTGTCCGGATGAAAAAGTCGGGCTTGTACAGTATTTATGCTTCATCAGCTAGAAAATGACCCACATACCGAAAATTCTCCAATTGAAGAGCAATCTTGAACATACGAGCAGTCCCTGATAGAGGAGAAGGTTCTGGGGCTTTCCAATAAAAAGCAGTCTCAAACATACGACTGGTCCCTTATAAACGGGCACATTTCAGAGTCGAAAATCAGATGTCCACGTCCGAAGGACTAGAAAAGTTTCGCGTAGAGGACTCCGGTAGACTATTCCGTGTGACCAGCTTATCCGGGCGATGTATTCCGCGGTGTTTGCACACGGGAGAAACCTTGCGCTATGTTCATCTTGGGGAAAGGGAGTAATAGAGGGGCAGTCTCCAACAAACGAGTAGCTTTTGGACGCTCGGATTATCAGGCAGACATCTGATGGACTGTGCGTAGAAACGGGGAAGTTAAGTTCCTGGGGTAGGAGCCAGAGCCTCCGGAATCAGCTCTGGCTGACCCGTCGTGAAGCGAAGACAACTCGGTACTCAGGGTTTTCATGAGCGAGGAAACGGATCTCCCATTGTTATCCTCCAGCTGCGGGATCTCTATTCAGCCGAACTCCCCGACTGATTGAATAGTTCCACTGATTATCTCATAATGATTGAAGGAACTTGATTCCAGACTCGAGTACACGGATATGAACTGGGAATGAGCCGGGGGTTCCTCCTTAGTGAACATTGTCGTTCCGAGCGAATTATTTGCCTCGATCACGGAGGCGCTCATATTAATTCCGTCGTCCAGTGTCACCGGAGTCCGGATTGGAAGGATTCTGACCGAAGCGCGGACCGTTCGACCGAGGAGTCACCTTTTCCAGCTTCCACAGCGTGCGAAGCAATCCACAATCAATACGGCTTGATTTGCTCGACTCACTGAACTCCGCTAATCGTGTGATCAAATTCTCTGGCACCGCAATCAAGACCCGCTCGAAGCGCCGCAGATCGATTTTAGCGTTTCCACCGTCGACTCCCTGTCAGAATTGGAATCAACGACGCCTCTGCCCTCCGTACTCGGAGACGCTGATCAACTCTGTGGTGATGTTCCTTCCGCTAGGAATCGACGATTCCTCTAGGAAAAGAGGAGGAACCGGGTTTGCTCCCTCCAATTACGCCGTGCGGGTTCGTTCGAGAGCCCGAATTGCGCTGCATGTTGATATTGTAGTGTTCACATAAGGTTTGAGCATATCCGGAGTCACCGAAAACGCTATTTCTTCCCAAGACAAAGACACCTTTTGCGAAGAAATCTGACGCGCCTCCAGGGTTTCCAAATCTAAAGCCCGCTGAAACCCGATCGGTCGGGAGTTTCCGCTCGGGAATGACGCAATTTCTATACGGAATATCGATGACCGCGTTCACCGGCGCAAGAAATTTCCCACATTCAGGAAGCACTTTTCCTTTCTCGTCATTGATCGGAATCCTCATTTAAATACGCTGGATGCATGAGCAAAGCGATCCAGTGCGTTCCCTCCGGCGTTTGAGTGACGAGCACCTTTAGTCATGAGGATTTTCGCCGTAGCAGTTGTCACTGCAGTGCTCACGGCCCAGTTCACCGCAGAGAGCTTTCTCCTAAAGAAGAAAAGGTGATCATTACCCCGTCCGGTACCGTTCGATTGTTCAGTGATCTTGATGGATACCTGGATTCCGAGAGATCGAGCCAGGAGCATTTGACACAAAGCCACGTGCGTGTGCTCTCGATGGGCTCGAGGAATTCCGGTCCACTTCCGAACGGTTCTGTATTTGTTCCGCAGCAAAAAATCCGGTAAGGATTCTCGTGAAGGTCATCACCATCATCATCATCATCACCACATACCGCATGGGCACGCAAAGCATGTTTCCCACGCTTCGCATCATATGACGGATTTTCATCATGGCGGTGAAGTTGAGATCCACGAGATGGATATGGGACACGCAAATGATTTCATGCACAGTGAGTGAAACTCATGTTAATTTGTTCTCAACAGACCAGAAATGCATGGTTTGCAGAATTTCCGTGGGGGAGAATGAAAGATTGACATTCCAACTCGATGGGACCGAGCTGAGTCCCAGGCCCAATCCCAAACTTTCCCGAACCTGACACTCTTGTTTTCTTCAGTGATTCAACATCACGACATGCACGCCGCGCGTCCTGGTATTCGGATGCCGATGATGATGATGCAAGGCCCACTCCTGAGTCGGATGCCACTGATGGCTGCGCCAATGGGACCTCTGATGGCTGCTCCGATGAATCCCCTGATGGCCGCGCCGATGGGACCTCTGATGGCAGGTTCCATGAGTCCCCTGATCGCAGCTCCGATGAGCCCCCAAATGGCGGCTCCGATGAGTTCGTCGATGAGTTCTTCGATGAGTTCCCCGATGGGTTCCATGATGGCTCAGCTGATGATGATGAACATGATGAATATGATGAGGGGAAGTCGTCAATCAGATCGATTCACCACTCCGACCGATGCGTCGATGATGAGCCCACAGCGGCTGCCGACGATGTCGATGCCGATGATGAACCAGCAACGGCTCCCGATGATGCCGATGGCGAACCAGCAACGGCTCCCGATGATGTCGATGGATCCCCGACAGCAGACTCCGATGACGCACATGATGAGCCAGTGGCCCTCTTCGGTGATGCCGCAATCGATGGGAATGACAGCTATGGCGAGCGATGCCTCTCCATCGACGATTGTCGGACGGCGGAATGTTACTGGAGTTGACAAAGTGAATGAGCTGAATGGTAGAACTGATTCCTCGGGTGAAAGAGACTCCCCGCATTCCTAGAGCAACTTTAATTTCGGTGCTGGGGGAACCCATGTGATAGATATGTGTAAAAAATGATCCGGATCCCCTGCCGAATTTTCCTCGTTCGAGTCATGAATATGGAAGGAAAATCTCAAATAATAAAAACTCTTCTTCTCTACAAGAGAATGCGGCTCAAGTTGGTGAGACACGCCGCATTCGGCTCATGCATAGAATGATACCCGTGGAATAGAGTATTCGTCGCAGGCATCGTTAGGGTGAGTTGAGAGAATGATGCTTCTCTCGTCCCGGATTCCGGTGGAGCGCAAGCAGGGGTCGAGTCCGAGCAGCGTTCCGAATAGCGCAGCGGACGAGCCTGATCATCGCCCGAAGCTGGAGGGTCGCGAGCCGTCCGTGACAATAGGCCTCTCGGAGCCTTGTTCCGCCCTCCGTTGGCCGACGGAGTCTCCCTAAGTGCGTCCTCAAGAGAGATGACATTCAATCAGTCAACTCGAGGATCCATCTATCAGGCTTTGTTTCCGTCCCGAAAGAGCAGGTCGTCTCGCTCATTGAGAATTGCACCCTGGGTTCCCCACTAAATGAGCTCCGGAGCTTCTTGTTTCCCTGGAATGCCGCCGGTCGCACCATGTATACCGTTAGGCTTGCAGGAAGTGCAGACTGCTCCTGGCTCAACCAAGTAATCCTCAGAAGAACCGCGTGACCAGACTTCCTGCTATCTTACGCCAGAAAGATGCAGAGGTCAGCGTAGGAGGAGCTCCTATATGCTCATCCGGTGTTGCTATATGTTCTCCAGGAGATCGGGTAAATGTTCGTGCAAGTCCGAGGGTGTTCAGGTGTAGCTCAGATGACCCTGATTCGGGAAAGGAAGTTGAGAGGGGCTACCGCTAGACTCGGGCTGAAAGGCCCTGAGGATACAGGCCTCACCCCGGGAGCCGAGGCGAATACTTGACGAATGAGACTTCCGCGGGTGGATCGAGTCAGACAGCCCTTCTCCGGACCGGATCCTCCGCTCCAGTGACACAAGCGAGAATGGGGCGCGACGCGTAGATCCTCAATAAGACCATTCCCGTTAAAACAATATGAGAAGAATCCCTCGTCGATCCCGTCATGATCGAACTCCGTCGCGGCTGGATGGAACACAAGGGACGATAAATGTGGGACGATCGTCCGAAATTCATGCAGAAGACCCCTAACGAAGCGGTGCTCCAAGCGATATTTGTAAACAAGGATAATTGATGAGAAAAGCTTAGTATCGTCTACGATGCTTTCAGGCTCGGGCGGAGCGCATCACATCGCTCGCGGAGCGCTAAAATGGGCGTCTGCCGCATAGGTGCCGATCATTCCGACTTCGGACTATGCCCTTCTCCACCTTCCACAACAATTTGTTCTAGGCCTCGCCTCACACCCGAATCTCACAGGTCCTGATCGCCTGATTGGACGTGTACGGAAAGCAGGCAAGCCATGGTCTGAGAAGAGTCTTGAGTGAGAATCAATGTCAAACATACCGTGGCAGACTCCAGACAAGTAACCTTCGAGAGAATCAGAGAGGAAAACTCTCTCCCAGAAAAGCAACCTGAATTTCAATCATTCATGACGAGTCTCATGATTCTCGAGCAGCTCGATGGATTGACTATATCGAATGGATAAGAGTTAGAATAGCTAAAGAATGGAATCAGATCTTCATTTTGAGAAGATATCTAATCTCCGATCATGTCACCGGAATGATCGCGAAACAGCCATACTATCAGAGAGTCGAAAGCGCTCGGCTCATTTTCAAATTGCTGCCGGCGTTCGCGAATCGAGCGGGTCCCTCGTTAAAGGCTCGTCGACAGCGAGCTCAGTAGCTTTAAAAGCCCCGGTCTGGAGCTTAGGGCATACTCGACACTGTTCTCCTCCGAGGGAGGAGAAGGATCCCCTAGGGATGATGGAGCCCTTCGATGGTACGCCAAGAAGAACTTCGAGGAACGTGCCATTCCGTCGACGAGGGCCTTCCCGTAGGAACCGGTAGCAGAAGACCGCGGAGGTCTGTTTCGGAAGCTGAGGAAGTCGCCGGAGAATCGAGCTCCGAGCAGTGATGGGGGTTGATGAGCATTCGCCGACCCGGGGAATTTCGCTTTGTTATCCAATTGACCTCCGTGAGCGTTTCCTGTTTCTCTACCCAAACCCATTGACGGGAATTCGTGATCTGTCGTACACCCGCCTATTTCAGGCTGCCCGTCTAAGCATCTGCAGATTTTCGTATAATTCATGGATGAACACTGTCCGGGACCCACACAAAGTACTTCTTCCGTGCATGCCATGCGCCAGGATTCTCCTTCGGCACCGCCGTCGGATCCGAGGAGTTTCCAGCACCGCGGAAAATCTCCCCATTCTATTTCCTATCGCTCAGTTTCAACCCGCATTTCTGCGAAATAGCTCACAACCCCACGGCGGTCTTCATTCTTTGACAGCCAAGAGCGATATGGTAACGCCGAGGGAGGAAGGGAAGTCGACAAAATCGATTTCTCAGCCGGGCGCATCATCGGAGAGGCGCATAAAAGCAGATTTCGGAAAGTCAAACCTCGAAAATTATAATGCCATGATCGTCAATATAATCGATGCTAGTCTACACCCTCAATACGAAGATCGCGCCTGTATAGAGATCTTGAGCCTTCGCTATGCGCCATGGTTGAGAGTGCTGAAGTCCCTGCACCCGGGTGCGTCTTCCGGACATGTTGGACGCAGATTATCGAGGGATGGGGGAGGCATTCTGCTGGGGAGGAGATGTGCGACAAGAATCCACCGATTACCTTCGCAATCTGAAGATTGACGCATCGCTGCAAATCTGGAATCAAATTCCCTAGATGAACATGGTCATCGCCAATCGCTCCTTGCTTGCGATTCACCGTCGGTGACGATCCCCCGGATCTCCACCGGATAGTCATTTTCCACTCCGAAATTTTCAAGTGTATATGATCGAATCAAAGCTTCGGCATTATCCGGAAGTTCACGGGAGGATCCTGTGATTCCTCACATGAAGAAAAATGAACGCATAGTTCATCAGAGACATCGACATAGGTATATTTATTTTCCTCTAGCTGCGAAAATCCTCTCTCAAATCTCCCAGCGCGCGTTTTCTGTTCTGAGCAAGTTCAGTGTCCGGTCCGATGAGCTCCAATCATGTTGTCATGTAGACGCACCTCACCTCAGAGCAACGAGTTTGTGCGCGAAATCGCACCCGGATTAAGTCTCAGAAGTTCTCAAAGTCGAGCGCAATTTTGCGTTGCAATAGGAAGTCCCCGAAATTCTCTGGGCCACAGGACGAAGGCAGGGTCGCTATTCGTTTCGGCGTCGTTTTAACGAGATGATCACAATCTAGATGTTTTCGTAACGAAGTGAGTGATTTGAATTTTCCCTTACAGTATACACAGCTATGCAATGGCTTGCTGGGTTTCAGAGAGCTCATCAGACCTCTGTGCTTGAGCTCAACATGTGCTTTCAGTTGGTTTCCGTGGGCGAACCTTATCGCGCACTTGGCGCACTGATAATTGCAGACCACGGGTTTCAAGGCTGTTCGCCTCAGAGCGGGTTTCACACGTTTGGGCGACGCTTCATCTGCGGCTGAGAGAGTGTTGAAGTCGGCGATCAGCTGTTCGAGCTCCGCTCGATGCAGATTCCTGACGTGGTTCTGGAGGACGCCCGAGTATATCGGGTAGAAATCGCCGTCCTTCCAAGGATGACTTCCGATCTCGATGTGGTTAATTAGCTCGATGGAGCTCTCGAAACAGACTTCACAGAAGGGGCACTCGTATTCTCCGCTACCGAGCGGCTTGTCTGGATGCTCCTTTTCGATGTGAGCCCTCAGCGTGTCCTTCGTAGCGAACTTCAGTGTGCACACGAAGCACCTGGGCGGCTTCGGATCAAAAGCTTCTGGCAGCGGCTTTTTGGTGATTGGCGGGACCTTCACATCGGCTGGGGAATGACTCCAAGTGTGGATCGATAACAGGATGAAATGCGTGAAAACGGCCTGGCAAGCTGGACATCGGAACACCCAATTCGGCTTTCTAGTAGAGTGGTCGAGATCGCATTCTGACATCTCAACGGGTAGGGGAGGAGTCGGAGGAGACTCTGGAACATCGAAGTGCACTGAACGTCTCTTGTCGCTCATGCTTGCGATAAGTTGAGCAGCTCTTTCCGCAACCCTAATTAGAGAGCGAGCCGTCTCTCACGGAGAACAATCACTCGGCTCGGATCCGGAGCTCCAAAGAGACCAACGAATTTAAATATCCGTTGTAGCCGCGTCAGTTGCGGGCGAAAATTCGAATCGAAGCGAATGAACGCATTTCTCGGTGCTGGGGCGGGCGTTCGAATCTCGATCGTTCACCAAGAGGTGCGCGATCCGGTTTGCGCGAATTGAACCTTCCATGACAAAATGGTCAACTTGGGGAGGAAAATCTTCCGCCAGCGAAGCTGACTTCGTCTGCTTGGGCGCTAACGAACGATCATGTGATGTTTACCGACTACATGCCAGCGAGTGCGGGGCAGAACACCTGCACCTCTATAATGGATCTTCCGCCCATATCAGGGTTCTGGATCCTGTTTTGAAGTTCCGATATGACCCGTGGAATCGATGCTCCTGCAGGTGCCGAGACGACAATGAGGAGGACGGACCACCGCGAGGGCCTCTTGCCAAAGCAGTCCGCCGCCCTTGCAGAAAGCGGTGTCGATTCTGTGGCGGCCGCCCTCGTGACGGTCTTCAGATAATCGAGAGAGAGAATGGGCTGTCCCGACGACCCGTCATCTGGGTCCTTCGGGTCTCGTCTCATACTCTTCCCTGAACATAATGCCTCTGCGAGGTCAGGCTCGCAGCCCTGTCATAGTGGAAGGTTAATTCGTCTCATTATCAGAACAAGTTTTTATTGGGTGAACAAGCGTCGCACTCCGGATCGCCGTCGAAGATAAAGCAATATCGATAACCTAGGGGAATATTCTTCCCTCGCGCACGAGAAGCAGACGGAGACTCTTCAGGGAACTCGACTTCATGAATGAATCCCCGTCTCTCGCTGTGCACGTTCCGTCGATACAGCTTCCGCATTGTCACCGGTCTGAGGATTCGGAATACAAACCCCTTGGTCTGAGGAATTTTCAAAACTTAGAAAGGCCCGAGAGCTGATTCGGCTGCCTGTAGTGAACTGCATCGATTTTCAAGCGTTCGTGCTCCTCAAGTTATTCATCATGATCATGATCATGATCAAGTCCAGGTCACCTGGATGATGAGCCCAGAGGGTCGTTCATGAGGCCTGCGGATGAAATCGAAGGCCATCGATTCGCGTTCGACTTCACGTCGGTCGAGATCTGGCTGCGAGTCGATGTGTTCAAGTGCTCCGAGTGAGTCCTCGTGACGCACTCACTTATCGTTTCGACGCTCGGTCTAGTCAATGTTGTTTGTCAAGCCTTGGGGATCAAATTTCGACGCGTCAAAGACTCAATGATGGTAATCTTCTTCGGGACGACGGTCCCGTCCAAGTTCGTCACTCCGGGCGGATTCGGAACATCACTTCCGTCGAGAACTCGAACCGAAAATCAGGTCCGCATCCGGCGCACCTTTCGGATGTTGGAATTTCCTTTCGGGTCCGACAAGATGTCCGTCGGGCGTGTCATCATGCCACGACTCTTCTTCTTGTCTGGAAGAAAATTCACCATGAGCTCCGGGCCTTCATCTCGAAAATTATACGCACGACCAGAGGTGGAAAAAAGCGGGAAGCGCGTTGGTATCGAGCGGCGCTACTACCTCATGTTCATGTTCAGCGTGAGCTGTTTCACGCGGAGTTTCTCTTCGCGCTCTCGTTTCTGGGTTTGAGCGATCTTCAGCGCGAGCTCGTTGTTGTCTTCCAGCTCGATATGTTTGAGTTGCGGTTTATTCTTGTTTTGAGATCGGATCAGAATCATGAAGTTGGCGGGAGCAGATCCGTTTTGGCCGGTCGATGCTGCTACGCTCGACTGAGAGCTCTTCTGGTTGTTGACTTGAGGCACCATGATCTCTTTTACTTGAGGAACGATCTTGTCATGAGCTCTTTGGTTATAGCTGTCAGAAACCATTTCTTCGAAATCGGCTTCGAACTCAGCCTGGAACTCATCGACGACAACCTCCGCGGGCTCCTTCTGCTCTTCACTCTCGGTCTCGTCCTCTTCATCCAAGTCGTCGTCGTTCTCGTCCTCCTCGTCCTCTCCTATGTCTGAGAGTCCTTCGGAGTCATAGTTTTGGTCGACAGTATCGTTCGGGAGATTCTGCGGGGAATAAAAATCTCCATAACCGCGATTTCGAACTGATGAAGCCCCTTGCAGAAAATTATAATCGGGATGAGACAAGTTTGTTCATTCACATTATTATCATTATTACTCACATTATTATTCTGCGAATCTTTGTCTTGAGCTTTTGATATGACGGCCTGACTCAATAATTTCTCCACGGCCGCCTGAGCTGCTTCAAGAGTTTTTGGCCATTGATATTTCGGTCTCAGGGGTTGGATGCTCTCTCGAAGAAGTAGCTCCACGGTCACAGGGAAGCCCTCCCCGAAATTTTCTTTCTTCTTCCAGAAGTAGAGCAGGAGGAAATGCAGATAATTATCGAGTCGCTTTTTTGAGCCCCCCTTGTCGAAGTATACCGCACACGTGTCCAGGAGAACGCAGACCAGCCGAAGTCTGCAAGAGGAAATGGGATTATCTTGAGAATTGTCGCGATTTCGTTCGATCCATGAAATTCGAGACTAGACTGAAGCTGCCATCCAGATTCTGATCATGATTTCTTGGCGACAGATAATAAATCCCCCACCTGAACACGTTCTCCGGAGGATCGAGGGGCGTTCCGGCTCCGAACGTAATCAACGAATAGAGCACAGAGAAGATAAGGGCACTTTCCGAGAGGCGGTAGTCGTACAGTTCTCCCAAGTAGTGAACCGCAGCGACTCGCCTGGAGAAGAAGATAAAAAAAGCTTGATGGCCGTCCTCGTTGCGGCCGTGTATCAGCGGCACGCTCCGCTCCTCGCAGCGGAGCTAGATCTCGATGACGGCATCTTGTTGGAGTCGGAAGTGCAATCTCTGCTCGATTACCTTTGATTGAACTTCGGATCGTTGATTTCCATACCGAGTCGAATATCCTCGACGACTGCGTCTAAAACGCGAGGTCCAATCGCATCTTGATAGGTAGCTAACTCGGCAACAAGATTCGCGAGAGCTCTGCGGAAACAGATCGAGTGGTCAACGCGGAGGTTGGGGGTTGAGCTTGCGACTTACGGTCAGTATACACAAGGCTCAGAGGAGCGAAGTGTTCTTTATTATTCAAGGGTTCTCACCGTATATTATAGTAGCGAAGCTCGTGGGGTTTCGTCAGCAAAGACAGCGCCAAATTCATCTGACTTTCGTCGGTCCAATCGATCTTGCGGAGCTGTCGGACTATTCTGTCCACGGAGTTTTTCGTCAAATCTTGATAGAGCAGTTTACGGAGGTATCTGAATCGGAATAGATTAGGGTGACTGCGAGTTCGCGTCAGCGCCCCCATCAGACAGCATCTCCAAGGGTCTTAGAGAGCGGTCAAAGCTCTTGAGAAGTTCGGGAAATCACTTCCCGACTTGGAGCTGCGACTTCCCTCCTAAATCACAGGTCGCAACGAGGTGAAGATTATCACCTTTCGAGAGGGGGCTTCTTCACCACTTTGATGGGCGCTCTCGGTGCCGTGATAGAAGTCACTACGGCACACGCGTTGTCGACCATCTGTTGGTGTCGAGGATCGAGGTTCTGGACGGTCCGTTTGCGGAGCATCTGATCCACGAGAGCTCGGGTTTGCCCGTGGCTCACAGCTGGAAAGACACGATTATTGGGCAAAAGTCTCCAGGAGTGCTCCTTGAATCAGGAAACCAGAGGGGCGTCAGGGAGACGGTTCCGGTTATCGAGGTATTCCATTTCCACGCCGATCGATCATTGTGAATCTGATCGAGTCGATGGCTTACGTAGAAGGAAGAGGAATCGTCCGCAGCACTCGACCAAATGACAACTCATGTCGATCGTATGATGAGAGAAATCCTGGATGAGCCGTTTCAGACAGTGCAGGGCCTCGGATGCTGGCAGCACTCGGAACTTGGTCAATTCCGCCAAAAAACGACAGTTTTCACCTGAGAACACGGAATCAGTTCGAAGGAGGGGCCAAAGCCGATACGATTCCCAATAGCTCATTACCACACATCGTGCCCACCGCATTTACTCCTGAGGGAGCGGAGCATTCCGTACTCCTTTAGCTACATGGGAGTAAGGTTCACAATCCGGTCGAAACCCGAACTGATCTCGATGATACTCAGTATAGTTGCATGGAGGCAGACGAGAGGAGGGATATAAAAACGAACCGGAGGGATTGCATCACGCCAGTATCATGAATGAGCAGAAAATGATCATACGATCATGATCACGATACTTCGATTCTGTGATTAGACCCTCGAGGAGGGAAAAGACTGAAGGAGAAACTACCCAGGAGAATGCCTGAGATGACTCACTTTGGTTTCAATATTCATCTGATCTTTCTTGCGGAGTTGGTAGGAGAAATCTTTAAGCAGGAGTGTGCAGAGTTCTTCGCCAACATCCGGCATGACTGGTTTCAGAATCGCGACGAGTCGGCCGAAGAATGGCAGCAGATCTAACCGCGTCCGTGGCACCAAGAACAGAGCCCTAGTCAATTTGTAGCGGTTCGTTCCTGGAATAGACGCATCGCTATCATTTGATCAAGCGAAAATCTCGATGATATCTCGCGTGATTTCCTCCTTGGGGTCTTTTCCGCCCCCTTTCCCCCGAAAATGGAGGGAGACGGGTGGAGACCGAGAGGAGGGAGAGCTTCAGATCGTTAAACTCACGTGTATTGAGGTTGAAGCAGAACTTTTCGGCCATCTGATCGATCGTGTCCCGATTGACGCAGTTGAGAAGTTCTTTTAGGAACGAATCCAATTGAGGTTTCGTCTCGACCTTCAACATTTCCTTCTCCGCTTTCACTTCTACGTCTTCGTCATTCTCAGTATCTCCCTCAGGAGCCGGAGACGTTGACTTTTCATGTTCCGTATCTCCATCCTGAAACATCACGCCATGGTAGGGGTGAAGCTCCATCATGACCGTGGAACTACCTCGCTGGAATTTCCCCTAATTATATTATAGGTGCCCACCTTCTCGTCTTTTACGTTATCTTTCAAAATTGCTGGCATTATTGCTTTGAGATCCGGGAGATTCTCGTAAAAAGCTTGCGTGTCTGCATCCTCCCAGAGAGGTTCTTCGGATAGTTCGGTGTCCTGAGAAACCTGCGGACGGATTGCGGACGTGATCACAGTCGCTCGGTGCGGTTCCATATCCATCGTATGCATGCGGCTTCGCTTCGTCTCTTAGGAATTGAGTGTCGAGGCAAACTCGTATCGGAGCCGATCAACATACCCCTTGCACGATACCCTCTGTCTCCTGCGGCTCTTCAGGTTCTGCGAACTGTGGAGGGGTCTCACCCAGCATCGCGGCCAACTGCTCGAGCGAAGAGGTCAGTTTCGCGAATGATGCCTGGGAATTGCATACGAAAAAGACTCAGAGGGAATCGCGAAGGTATTCGATTCAATCAAGACAGCTCTGATTCCTCCAGAGGGCAAAGGGGCTCGCGGACAATCGTACTTGAGCGCTTTCCAGTTTCTCGGAGAGCTCGGGCGGGGCCGCTCCCTTGTTCTGCACGGCATTCCGGTATTGTTTCTGAAGTGTACAAAGGTCGCCGTGCTCTCGAGTGGCGAACCGCCCAATCGACTTGAAGTACTCGCGGATCATCGTCTGCAGGTAAATTCGTATTAGTGGTCCGGGGAAAAATTAATCAGTCTCTCCCGATCGAATCACCGAAAGTCGCGGGCTCACCCGGAGAGATTTCTGTTTGTCGATAGGAATGTAAATCTCGATCCCGGGACTCCCCAGGGCCAAAAGCTCATCCCCGCAAGTTTTGCATAGGGAGATGATGGAGCTCAAGGATTGTTGACTCTGATTGCACATTTCCTAGAAAAAAAAGAGGGAGTACGATAAGGCTTAGTACAGGATCTGACATTTCATATAACCCAGATGCGAACTCGGATTGATTGTCACATGAAGACACTCACCTGAACGAACTGTTTCATCACTTGGAAACCTTCTTTCAGGGGGAATACGCCACACAAGAGGAGTTCGGCTGTCAGTCTCAAGTCAACGCGAGCTTTAGCCGGGTTGACGCCTTGCGTGCCAATCGACTTTTGGAAATTGTCCAGAAGACATTGAGCAAAGTCCCCGTACTCGTTGTGCAGCTTTGAACACACCTACGGGAATCGATCGAGACATCAGTTCAGTGGGATCGTGACACTTTCCTTTCGAGACCGCGATCGAACTTGGTGCACAGAGCACATCGTAGGGTGGCCCGAGTCTCCAAGGAAATGCCAGGAGGGATGAAATATATGCGAAGAATATCTTCAATTGATACCTGAACGAGGGAAGTGACATCGCTCAATTTTAGTTTGGCCTCAACAATGCCTTGACAGATTTCAGAGATGTATTTCGACAAGTTCAAGGTTTTTATGTCGCTCAAAACCGACGTCAGCTGCGCTTCGTTGAAGGTTTTCTGTTGCGGAAGGAAGGGAATATCAATCAGTGGGTCAGTAAGGAATCCAACTCCGGGGTGTTTCGAACTCCTCCACCGTCTCAAGTCTTCCTGATTGACTCGGCGTCTTCAGGACGGACCGATGAGAAAGCTTTGCTTATCAGAATAAGCTCAGAAATACACTCACAATTTTCCTCACGAAAGCGGTATTTTTTTCAAGCTCGAGTCTCGAAGAGCAAGATCCTTCTCAGTGGCGCGTACAGGGTTCAGGTTCGATCTCCGTAATTCGAGTCTTTGGTCCGCCACCGTTTTAGCTTTAAATGCAAGGAGATCAAGAGATGAGAAAAGAAGGGGACAAGGTTTCTCATCGACGGTGGATGTACTGCGGAAGTCCGAGGGACCCTCAGGATCGATTGTCATCGCCCAGAGCATGGAGAGAGATACCAGCCGAGATACACATCATTATTCTTGATATGGCTGAAAGAAATTCGGGAATCGCGAACCAGCAGCGGATCGCTCATCAGGAGAAAAAGATGCGAGTCATTGGACATTGTTTTTATAACTCAGAGTGCGTGCATGTCTCCCGCACGACAACGTCACTCCTTTTTTTTTGGAAACCGTTCGTTCTGGAGATTTCCGCTCCTGAAATGAATGTCAGCGATGTCGGAATCACCTTTCTCATCCGCCATTCGTGTTCGAAGCACATGCGTTCTTCGCGGGAAATCCGGGGCAATCTTCCAATGTGATTCAATCCGCACAGCTATCAGATCAAGCCGAACAGTATTATTGGAGACCACAGAAGTTCAGTGGAGTGTTTTCTTCTCTCGGTGCTGAGAGTCGCTCCGAGATTTAACAAGCTCGGAAGCCGGAACGGCACAAGAGAAAACAAGCGCCCCGTGGGCTCTCGTCCGCGCGCGATAGCTCTCACGCAATCGAATGCATTTGAGAGCCTGGAACCGCTTATATAAGGACACCGATAGCTTCTCTTAGACGAGCATCGCGTTGCATGCACTGGAGTCCGAGCCAGATAACCGGAGATTCACTACAGAAAATATATTCCTTCCGACTTCCGAGCCGCCTTGTTGACCTGGCGCAGCAGACGAACCAGTGGAGAGAGGCGCTACATACACACACCGGGCAGCAGTTTTGTGATGATTCTGAGCGGACACTTACGACCCAACGGGATTCGACTCGAACACTGAGAATCGGGATTTCGTATGGTGGTTTTGTGAGCCTCATTCTCTCGTTACGCGAGATCCTCCGTTCGACTGTAACGCCGAACTATGGCCAGACGACGTTCTGTTTCTCCGAACAAGAAACGCCGCCGTAGACATGTAGGTTTTCGGGTTCGAGCCGGCATTCTAATTTCGTTATGTGTCTCAAGATGAAAATTCGGCTTCTGGGAGCCTCATCAGCTTGGGAGGACTCTCCCCCTGGACCGGTGGCGATGCGAGAGCTCAGCATTTGGAGTGATTCCGGCTGATGTCGCTCGACTGCGATTACGGACGATGTCATATGGGGTCACTTTTCACATCAGCCAGAACTCGTATCGCGCTAATCCGTGGGCGACGAATCACGTATATTCTCCGAGATACCCCCGTCTCCGATCGTTGATGTTACAATCGGGGCTCCTGTTGTCGTCATGTTTCACGACGCCCCTGTGGTCTTTCAGGACGATTCTTCCGACTCCGATGGCTATTTCCAAGCTCCGCTGGTCGTTAAACCCCTCGCGTCACCTCTCAGAGAATCCGCGGCGGCCTACAATAGTCCGGACACGAAGGTGCGTTTTGTCAGAAAGAATCTGCCCGACATCCGGAATTCTATCGACAAGTTCGTCGTCATCGAACTTTTTTTGACTGATCTCTCTGTTCTAGGAGTATAAACACGCATCGATAGTTGAAGCGAGTTCGCATTCATCTTCCGCGAGCTCATCGTCTGAGAGCGAAGATGACGACAGTGACGATGAGTCCGGCAGTGATTCCGGGTACGATCCCGTATATGATCCTATGCAATCCGTGAACCCTTTTTTTTATCAAGTCTCGTCAGAGATTCGTCAGCATTGCGAGCGCGCCTAATCCAACATTGATTCTACCCTCAGTTCTGACACCGGGAGCAGCTCAGAGAGCGCCAGCGACGACACATCCGAAGAGAGCAGTAGCGAGAATGAAACGAAGACAACCAAAGCTCGGAGGTAAGGAGCTCGACTTCTGACTCTTGACTCGAATCCTTCATTGAACTTGAAATCCGCCGCGTAAATTCGGAATCCGGCCTCGGAGGAGAAGGTCCTTCACGAGTCACATTTTGATGAGTTTCCCCATCACTTCAGAGACACAGAGAAAAACACAAATGGAAGGTCTAAAGCCCAGAGGAGTTCTCCAAAGGAAGCGGTCAAACGGTAGGTTTCGCTTACCATCCCAATTCCTAGGTGATACCAGCCGAGTATGATTCGGAGTCGGCTCCAATGAATTCCCAATCTGCCAATCCCCATCGTCGACTAATTCCCTGCATTCTCAATCACAGGAGAGTGAGTCGAGGCCGAAGTGAATCGTCGGACCGGAAAAAGATCAGAGACAGGTCAGAATCAATCCCGGTCACCCCGTTCGTCGGGAGGCATCCCGGAATGCAAAATACGTTCCGAGGTTCTCCCTGAGAAGAATGATCATTCCCCTTGGAACTAATCGTCTCCGCTTGCAGATCTGGGAGGAGTGCTTCCACCGATCGAGGTAGAAAGGGTAGCCCCGTTCAGAAGAGGACGCTCTCACCGTCACGCAGAAAAAGTCCTCAAAAAGATCGTCGAGCATCGCCGAGGTTCGTTCACTGTATCCTGTCTGGATAATTCGCTCGAGAATGTTGCTCTGATCCAATCCTCCATTCGGGCTGAACGACTGCAGCGATTCATTTGAACTTATCCTTTCATCTTAGGCGAGAAGGCGGTGGAAGGCGCGGTGCAGAACGCCGAAGATCTCCCAGACGGGACAAGAGTCCCAGGCGAAGATCTCCTCCGAGAGATTCGCGTGACAAACGACGAGATTCGCCGAGGAGACGAACTCCTCCGAGAGACCAACGGAGCGCTCCCGACCGTAGAGAGAGTCGCTCAGACGGAAGGAGACGGGATGGCGAATCTAGACGAGGCAGCGAAACTCGGAGAGAAAGTGATTCACGAAGAGGAAGGGATTCTCGGCGGGAGACTGATACAAGGCGCGGAAGGAACTCTAGGCAGGAAACGATTGAAGTGAAATCCGAGAAAATCTCGCCAGACCTCTCCAAGGTAATTTCGAAGGAGGAAGGGAATCGAGCACAAGATCAAAAGCCTCGGCCCATTCGGGAAGAAGATTCCTGGATTAAATTCCTGATTTGTTAGGTAATTAGATAAACGCTTCTCGAGTTCTCATCAACTTGGCCGAACCATCGCATTCGGATCGATAGAGCCCCTCGCTTTTCTTTAAAGGTAAAACGAGAAGCACGCTCGCCCGAATTATCCAAATGGGCCGATGATCAAGACCGTGAATCGGAGAATCGGAGACCACGCGGCTCCGAACGACCGAGAAACAAGCAGGATCGTCTTGGAGAAATGAAACGAAGAAATAGAGAGATGGAAGACGCCGAACGGAATTGTGCGTGGGGTATTCAAGAAGTCAAGAGAGAGGAAGAGGTGAGCAAACCGGGGGACTCTGAGCGCAGACTTATTTCCTAACACCCTCCGGTCTGGGGTTTTCGAATCGGGGCTGAGCGAGTACTCTTCGAGAACCATCCGGATACTTGATCTGACCTTGCTGCTTCTCGTAACACAGGTCAAACCCGAGGAAAAGCAGAAACCGGACTTAGGTCTCTCAGGGAAACTCGCTGAAGATACCAATGTATTCAACGGAGTCGTTGTGAAGTATAATGAGCCGCCCGAAGCAAAAAAGCCAAAACGTCGCTGGCGCCTTTATGTTTTCAAAGGCGAGGACGTGCTTCCATTCATCCCACTTCACAGGTCAGTTCCAAGCGGGAAGAAGATTCTTAAGTCCTCGGGGTCCGCTCCGTCCACACCGCCAGCTGCGGACCCGATCATCGTTCGCGATATCCACTCGTTCACATACTTGCAGGCAAAGCGCCTACCTTCTCGGCAGAGATCGCAGAGTGGCGGATATCCCGGTGGACCATCCATCATGCTCGAAACAGCATGCGGTTCTCCAATACCGTTCCGTTCCATATGTCAGAGCTGATGGCTCGGAAGGTCGCCGAGTCCGACCATATGTGCTGGACATGGAGTCTGCTAACGGGACATTTGTTAACAATAAGAGGTCAGATTGAGTTTCTTATTGCGGTTGCGAGCCACGAGCTCATCCTACCCAGAACATGACGATTTTTCCTCTGATCAAACGTGACTCGAGTCTTCTCTTCAGGATCGAAGCGAGCCGGTACGTCGAACTTTTCGAGAGAGATGTCATCAAGTTCGGATTCAGCAGTAGAGAATACGTTCTCATACCAGAAGACGCCGCTGAAGCGGGAGAAGACGATCCAAAGTCAGCCCCAGCCGTAGGTGAAAGCGGAGTTGAAAACTGATGGGCCAGCTGCAGAAGGAATTGTCAGAATCCTTGCTCAAAAACCTAGCGGTAAGAAAGACGTGTCCAGGCACAGGAGCGGACACTCACGGAGACGTACCTTAAGGGAGCCGACGAATATACACGCCTCGGATATGAGGATTTCGTGAAGTTTATATAGGTATTTCTATGGATGTTTCGGACGATGGTCGTACTAATGGATCTTTACATTCCCGAATGAGTCCGCTGGCGGATGTGTCCAGCAATAAAAAGCCCAACTCCATTCATTCTCAAAACTCGATCCGGATTCCATAGATGGGCATATAATGAACATCGATCTTAGAGCCCGAACCTTACATGAGTCAACTTTTCTTGTGAATGCCTCCCGTCTCCTGGCTGCGTTCGAGAGTCCAAGAAAGAGAGAGCGCTCAAGGAATGCATTCCCATCGACGGGATAATGACCTTTCCGAGTTCATCACGATTGACGCCGAAGTGCCCAAATGTGAACTTCTGTAAAGATTAGGCACGAGTTGGTAAATATGAACGGTCTGAATTTGGATGTGATCTTGACTCATTAGTTTCATAAGGGGCATTAGAACGGCACGAGGTTTCCTCGGAGAGTAGTCCGAGCAGTCTGTAAATAAAGTCAATGTTCAGAGTCAGACGTGAAACCCTCTGAGGATATGTTTTGTTAAACGAAAAATCTTTCTAGGATTCCGCAGTTTGCTTCCGCCTGCCTGAGCCGGTGAATCGTGTGCATGAGGTTCGAAAGCGGTTCCTATTACTGACACTCTCTCGATGTATCGAACCGAAATATCGGACTTCGTTGTGGATTCTGCGTCTTCCAGCTTTCTTCTGAATGCTGGACATCGGACTGTCAGACAGAAGCAGACACAGTTATCGACAGGGGTCAAGTCGGATTCCCGGGGGCCAAGAGCCGAAAACGACGACGCGCCTTCTCGTGGCTCATGCTTTAGTACTGGGACCAGAAATCCTAGGAGGGGGCCGTCCCCCCCTTCTCCCAGCTTCGCCGCTGAAGTCTGCCGACAGCCCTAAGAATAGCCAGCCCGCACGACGCGTCTCCGACCACCCTCCGCAGACGCTTTTGCCTCGAGTACTCCTCTCGGCGCATCGGAATGTTCCTTGGCGGATCTTCCAGAAATCTCGAGCGTCACGAAGTCCCCTTATCGGACCTCGATATCAAGGAATGAAGCCGCGTGAATGGCTGGCGATCCACGCAACAAAGATGCCTCTGACCGAGGAGACAGCATCAAACTGATTTTCGGTCTAGCAGAATAAGACGATCTTCTCGACAGTTCCCCCCGAATCTGAGACTTGGATCCCCAAAGGGAATCGTACTCTGGACTCCATCGGCTTCGCGCTCAACGAAGAGCGGAGTCAGGTTCGGAGCAAGGGACACGAAGCGAGCTTTGGTCGTGTCTAGGTCACTCTCTCGGCGCATGACCTCCCACTGGCAGCAGGCAGGCAGACTCGCGAGTAGTGTGTGTCTCTGTGCGTGGACTAGTGACTCTAGTGTCTCAATCCGGGTGGCAAGTGTGTCGATCAGGATTTCTGATGCCTCATAGGTGAAAAAAATCCATTCCGATCCCGACTCAGCAGGATGGCGCAATCCGGAACGCGGGCCCTGGCCCTGTGTAGGTGAGTGTGCGATTTCGTTGTATATTCGCTCTCGAAGCTCGAGTCCCGGGGCTTCTCTCCCCGGTACTTCTCCGCGCAATCTGTAAGTCACCTTTCGATTGTTGCTTCATCTCCTGCCGGAATGTACCATTTGGTTCCTACGCTGGAAATCTCTCCCTGTGAAAGGGATCTACTAGAAATGGGAAGCCGGCTCGTAGGAAGAACCTCGCCAGTGAATGATGTTCATCGCGATCCCGGCTCGCAGGGATCCGACGGTTTCATGCCAAGTTCGGCGCAGATTACGCAACCGAAGTCGTCTCGGATTTCGGAGGATCGAGAGGAACAGCTCGCGAGTTTTCCTGTCCGAATAGGACGCTTTCCCACCCGCTACCTCTTCCGATATTTGAACTTCTTATGTTGTGTCAATAGCCCGCTCGGGGTCGTGACTTTGAGCGGCCAGTCCTAATACATTCGATACTTTGCCGTAGCTGCTGTTTGTCAAGTAGTATTTCCGAAGCGAAAGTCAATCTTATCAAGCGGAGCACTCAGCGCACCCCATGGGCCCTCGAAAGCTATCGGAGTGACTGACGCGATCCAGTTTGCTGTCGATAGTCGCGTCCAGAACGACCAGGTTATCTTCTCTTGCGCTTTCGGTAGCCTCCGAGAGACCAAAGAGATTCGATTCGGAACCTTTTGCTGAGATTAATCTCATGGAGTTGAATGGACTTCAATGTTTCGCAGTATGCTGAATCGCTTGACTCCCCTTTTGTCAGTTCAAGGATTCGACTTCTCTCTCTCGTCAGTTCATCCTCCGCGAAAATGCCTAAGAGACTCATACTCTATTTTCGACTCCCTTCACAAGGATCCGTTGGATATCTTGCGGAGATAAAACAGCATTGTGACAATACTTAAGGCCACAAATAACTGCGAGACTCTCTCCAATGGCACGTGGATGAGCCTTCAAACAGGACGACCTGCATTTCCTGAGGGAAATCCCAAATCACGCCGCAGAAACCCCAGACTAACGATGCCTCAATACGTTCGTTTTGCGCAGCCGTAATCCCGAAGACTCATTCGAAAGCCAGATTTGCGGGCAAATTGAAAGCTAGCTCCGGATGAGCTCGGGAAACGCTTATGCATTCGACCGCTACAATACTTCCCCATCGAGTCCCAGTCATTGAACTGTCAGTGATTTTTGTGGAATGTTTCCCGAGTCTCCTCAGCCTGACACCCGATCGAACGTCTCGCCTACGCAGTCACTTAGGGCTTCAGATCTTCCGGTTTGAGGCCCCCCTGGCAGTCAGCTTCAGCTGACAGGGTGGAAAATTAAGGGGTGAATGAGAAGTGTCTTTTATAACGACAAGGGTCGAGCTCTCGCGCCATGGGTTCGGCGGTGGGTGCTCTGACGATCGGTCCACGGAAGCGGGGTCTGCTTTTTCTTAGCTCTTCTTCAAATCGGCGGAATGAGCCCCAGAACCATCTGTCCGATTTCAACACGGGTCACTCTAATCGGCGAGGATGCATTGGTCCGAATCCCGAGCCGGTGGACACAGAGTTATGCAAAAAACATTTGAGAAGCTTCACTCCCAGGGAGTTCGAGCTATTCTGGTCCGCTATCTTGGCGACTCGCGTTTCTTGCGGCGTCCACCTGTTGGACGTTATATAACGCTCTTCAGCGATTACACAACACCTGGTCTAGACACCTAAACAATTGTTTTAAATTTTGCGACGCGGTTGGTGAGCGACGTAACCCATTCTGTAAACCGCACAGGCGCCTACCGAGCGATTGATCGGACTCGATGTTGAACTTGAGCTCAGAATTCAGAATTGCATCGACCGTCAGATGTGGGATCTGTATCATTCCCGACTCTGTTGTTGGACCGATCGCGAGTAATTGGATTTGATGATTTGGTGGTTTGCCTGTGTCGCAAGTTCCTTGAGTTCGAACGAAGAATTGGCCAGGCTCTTAGGATCGGATCAGTCGTAGGTGGTTTCGGTCACGGTCCGAATTTTCAACGCCGCAGCCGAGGACTTCCGCTGTCACATACAAACATGTTTTGGTGCGCGTCGTTCAAAATGGTCTCCGCATATTTGTTGAATCGCGTGATGAAGAACCCTATTCTCGCTCTGGAATAAGAGCTTCCGTGACAGAAACGTAGGTATTTTAGACTCTTTTTGAGCGCGAAAGCTCGTTTTCCGAGCGACGCTCTCATTCTCGGTTTGTCTCTGTTCGAAGACATGTTGCCTGCTTGAACGGAAATGTGATTCACGGCATGAGTCATAATTCATAATATTGCTCCAGAATTCAGATATCTCCCATTGGGAAGTATACATCCTCTGAAAGTGTTGAATCGCCCTCGATGAGGTCAGCCGCTTGATCGGCGTTCTGATCATTCTCTGGAGGAATCGGTCGGCTCATCGACGTCTGGCTGAGTGGGAGAGCGAAAGGGATAAATGTACCGATTTGGAACCCCTAAGGGGAATTCTCATTTTTTGCCACTGAGCGGTGATCCGAATCGGTTTTCGCTTTTTCCACGCGGAGGAGTCGGAGAGCTCAGGATGTGTATAGAAATGCAAGATACAGAAATTTCTCTCTATAGCCTAGTGTGGGGCGTCCGCTCCGGGTCCTCGAAGAGGTTACTCTGGATCTCTCCCCTGACTGTCTGAGTCAACTCGAACACATTTCGACCTCTCGTCTGCAAGTCATTGTCAAGTATGAGTCCGCATGCCCTCCCCCAGGACGAGAATCGGGACCCGATAGCCTCTACCGCGAGTGTCGCCACTCGGTGGGCACTCAATCGAGAAACTATTGCTGCATCGTCGAACCCTACTTTCTGAGATTTCTCACTCAGACAACCTACCTACGCACAGCGATGAACAAAACTACAAACCTCTCTGGAACCCTGGGAAGTCTGCAGCGGTCGAAGCGCTGGAAATCGTACGGGCTCGTGGCCCGAGCGACGATAAGCCGGGGAAGGTCACGAGAAATCTCCTCCCTTTTTGTAGTATCCGAGATATTTCCGAGCTGTTTCAGTACATTCGAATACTGTTTAGCTGAATATGCCTCGGCCGCGGACTTATCCATCTTCGCTGCACCGAGAACAAATTCGGCAAAGTTTCCTTCTTTTCCTGGTCTGAGAAGAGCATCTCTAGAGCCTTCGTCTAGCTTCGTATTCGCTACAGCGAGCTCTCGCCGCGGAAATACCTGTTGCGACGTCAGGCAGAAGAATATCACGAGTCGCGGTCGTGGGCTTCCCGACAAAACAAAAACTTTGCTTCAGAATATTGCAGAAATCCGACTTTTCCGCCGACCGCAATGCGAAGATCATCGGGTCGAGGCCTGCGGACTTTTCTTGCGAGGCAAAAGCTACGATTTGCGTTAAGTTCTGAAAACAGAGAAAAAGAGCTCCACTTCGATCCAGCAAGTCCAAAGACCCGAGCTCTAAGGATTCGCATGGAACTCCATCAGAATCGCCTCGTGGATACTGAAAAATTGTACGAAATCGGGGATGGATTTAAGTGAAACATCTCTATGGCGCTGGTATTGGGCAAATATACAAGGACGTTTTTTTCCTTCATGGAAATCCGCTGCTCGAGCGTAGTAGGGACTTGGGCAGACGTTTCTTCGATTCCTTTTGGGATTGGAGATCTCACTCATGTTCCTGAACCGACGCCGCTGAAATGGAATATTAAGATCCAGAATCATAACCTCGATCTCGAGATCGGACTCCCGATTAACACGGCCTCTCCGGGAGACAATGATAATGGTTGAGTATGATGAATATCACTCGATCAAAAATGGGGATGGACGGCAGCACCGAAGCGACTAAGTTGCGGGGAACGGAAAGAATCCCGCGGGAGAGTATAAACTGAGTATAACATTATAGGAGAAGCTAGTATTGAAACATCGAAAATATGCTCGATCGCGAAAGTGGCCGTATTTCGGGATCCTGACTGCGCGCATCGCGGCATCGGCTAGCATACCGGCGGAGACGAACTCATGCATCAAAAATTTGTCCCCGACGAAAACATCCCGACTCTATTGAGAACTAACCTGTTGCATGTCCGGCATCCCGGATGCCTGGTTTCCTAGAAGCCCCGCACAAAGACGGGAAAAGAGCTTTGCGCGCTCTCGTCCTGCTGTCGAAGACGTCGAGGACACGCTGATTGTGAACAGGACTCCCCGGTGCATCTCCGCAAACAACGTTCAGTTTCCCTCGAAGCCCAGGTGTCGAATTCCGTACGGAACCCTTTCGACCCCAACCAATGACAATGCTCAATCAGTTTGCTGTCGATCCCGGGACTCATCGCTGCCGTCTGAGAGTGTCGAATAACCCACGAGTTCTCTCATCGTATCACTTAGCCGACTCAAATTCCACGCTCAGAACAATCATGACATTGTCAGCGATCGTCACGTTGATTTCGATCATGCATTCGACCGCTACAATGCTTCCCCATCGAGCGGCTGCGTCACAGCTCTCAATTCACCGCAAACCGTTCCCATCAATGCTTCGCTGATCGCTTCTTGCTCGACAGAAGAAGCTGGAACCATCGATGAGCTGCCACTGGGTGATTGCTCGACATTTGATAGAAGTGATTGGAGCGTTCGGCAAAACGTTTCACTTTTCCGAGCAGCTACTCCGGTGGTGGCTCGGAGCGACGAAAGTGGGTAGGCGATGGTCAGAAAGCTCCATTTTTATCCATTTTTGCCGCAAACATAAGCATCGTCGGCTCCGTCGTCGTTATGTGAGAGAGATCTCGAAGCGACTTCGGCCTACCGACGTCTTCATGGAGAACGGATGCTCTTACTGTCCGCGGTCTTATTTCTTTTTTTTCCGCAAGAGGAACTGTGCCCGAACGGAACTTTGCATTTCCTGTGGGAAATGCCAAATCGCGCCGCAGAAACCCCAAACTAACGATGCTTCAATACGTTCGTTTTGCGCAGCCGTAATCCCGAAGACTCGTTCGAAAGCCAGATTTGCGGGCAAATTGAAAGCTAGCTCCGGACGAGCTCGGGAAGCGCTTACCGCATTGTTCAATGCTCGTTCCATATTCTTTCGCTTGATCCTTTGAAGAATTCGTAAGAAAAAGGAAAAGTCAAAGTTTGCGGTCGGTCTGTCGTTCCGATGTCCCTATGGCTTGTCGGTCGCAAAACATCCCAGGATTGTACCCCGTGTCAATGAAGGCATTCGCGGCACGTCTTACATATTTTTTCCTCATTTCGACGGAGACTTCGAAAATACTTAACGCCTCTGACGTCGAGCGAAACTTCAGCAGAACCGTCGCCGTCCCATGCGGCCGCTGTTTGGCTATATCATTCGGTTGCAGAATAGTCAAGGTTCGGTTAAGCGAGAGACGACAGCGGGGAAAAATTTCGAAAAACATCTTCGACAACCTGCCCGTCATCCTGTTAAGATTCTTTCTTCCCTGTTTCCCCTTCCGTCACATATGGAACGAGCCTGTCAGCAGAGCCAAGTGGGTGGTTTCCCCGGCCGGCGGAGCTCTGAGAAAAATGATCCATCCCGGTAACCACTCGTTGATTCATAGATATTCAATCCTATCCTTTAGATATTTTTTTGGTCGGCGATCGACTTATCTCCTCGGATCTAGCTCTGATCACGTCTCCAAGATCTGAAAGAACGCGAATGAATATAATCGTCTCCGCTCGAGGGCTTCAACTAGATCGAATTAGGTAGATACCACTCATGGTTCCAAGAGATCTCCACCTCGGACTGATTGAGTTACCTTGACGTCGTCGACATCCATGCTTCTTGATTTCTGTTCCCATGGAACCTCCTCTCATCGGTTTCTCAACCCTACTCAAAAAAATTATACCCCAGTTCCCGGATGGGTGAGAATCCCAGCAGCGCGTCCCCTTCTTGCAAAAGTCTGACATCGATGAGTCGCTGGCCACTGGCAGCGAATGGTCCCACCCAAGGGAAAATAACGAATTAATCCAGCTCGAAATCTCCTATTGTGTTGAGGGAATTCGAGAACGGCCGTGTGCGATGAAATGACACATGGGAAACTTCTTGGCGCGAGAGATATCCGCGACTGCGATCGGGCAACGGTACAGGTGACTGACTGAGTATCTTCCTGTCCTATTTGCTCAATTCATGGAATGTTGTTCCGTCGTAATGTCCCTATTAGTCGAGTCGGCGGCGGAGCCCTGGGAGCCGTAATTTTCTCCCCTCCTCCTTCGATGCGATCCGATGCAACGATTCGTCGTTTGGTCGACGGACAAAGATCTGTTTTCCTTGAATTGACCAATAATTGAGAGCTTCGGTCAATTTCCACATTAAGATCTTTGTCGCGACCGGAAGTTGTGCATCGATATAGGAGAAGCGAGGTGTTGACTGATCGCTCGCGTGCTCCCCGCCACCGCGTCCGTACCCTGAGTGAGTCCTTTCGGCAAAGCCGTCATGCTTAAAGGCGGCATCTCTTTCCGAAGAGACTATCAATTCGGGTGCATTGGCTCTCGGCTATTTCCAGAGCCCCGAATCGTATTCACAAAGTGATCCACGGCGTCGCTCCAAGTCCGATTCGAAGGAAAAATTACGAAGAATCATCGACTCCGATCCAAGCTCAGGCATCGAAGGCGTCAAACGGGTAGCGCCCGGAAGGGTGATCTGGTGGTTTCCAGCGACCGAAAGCAGCCCACGAACGGAAGAAACTTTGCCCTCGCTGTTAACTTATTTTTTTTTCGTGACGTCGGGGACAGCCTTCCCCATGTCTGCCCGTCCGCTCGTACCTTCGTCTATCCCGCCGCTCGTCGCTGACTGTGTTCCTCCGGGAGAGGGATGAGGATCCCGACGAAGCGCCCACAAGTTTGGTCGTTCCGCCGGCGGTTCGTTTGCTCATTCGAAAGCCTCTTTTTGAGTGAACAGTGAGGTGTTTGGAGGAACGAAAATCCCGTGTTCTCAGCGGTTCTCTGATCCGAAGCCGTACGGTGCTCGTTCCAAGTCATCAAGATTCGCTCCGGACCTATTGGTGTCGATAAGATTGAGCTTGTGTGAAACTCCGCTAACTTCGGATAATTTTTTTTCGTGGATAAAACTATCGCCGAGTCGATGTTTCGACTGTGTTTCGCTTCTATGGGTAACATGGCCACTAAGGCCAAGGAGGAGAACGGGAATGTTCCCAACGGCATCTCCTGCGAAAATTGCAGCAGCTGCTCTTGCAGGTGAGATATCCGTCCGCTTGACGTCTCATTCAGACGGAACAGATTCTCTTCACATCGTGATCCTTCACCTGAACTCAGTCCTGGTCTAGCGACGAGAAGGTCCAGGAAATCTCCAACGATTCTTCCTCTTCGGAGTGTGGAAGGCTGACCGGGGTCAAATCTTGAGGGGTAATCAGGAAACGGCCTATCCGTTCCGGTGGAGGTTCGAGGCGAGGAAAGGGGCAGCGTGAGGGTTTTCTCCTGATCTCGGTGAATATTCTCGCCGCGAAGAGCATCGAGAGAACCAGGGAGGCGGCTAATTTCAAAGGGGTCGATCGCGGAAATCTTCATCTCGTTCCGATTAGCCTAATAATCTGAGGAGAATTTCTGAATTGAATCTGCTTACAGGTCAACTACACAGAGGGTTATCGTTGGTGGTGCGAAGTTCAGCAAGCGAATGGAGTACCTTCGAGATCCGCGCATTGCCAGGGTGAGTGAAAAATCTCAATGATCTTCCTCCATCTCTGAAAGCTGAAGCCATCCCCGAATTTCCGGATCACTTACCGCGGGAGCTTCGATAGTCTGTGACTGAGGCGAAGATACAGCTCAATCCGCGAGAAACGAGCGCAGAGGTCCACAGAGTAGATGTTTTTCCCGGGAACCAAAGTTCGCTTCCGGAAAAAGTCATTCGTATCTCTTTTGCGGATCAATCGACGTTCTTTTCGTGTTTCCACGAAACGATTCCCGATGAATTACACGGCGCTAAGAGGTCTCCACAGAAACTTGCTACCAACTTCCTAGCCTTCTCTTCTCGCGTTTATATCTTAATATTTAGCGCGGAACAAGATGGTGGATACTCAACCCAAGGTCGACGAATTTTCCTCAACAATAGAAATAATTATGATGACTCCGGAAGGCTTCATTGACTGAACAACGACCGACGGGGCAATCGATGAAGCGATTGAGTCCAACGAGAATAGAGAACAGGGATTCTGGAAGTCCTTAGGCAAAAATTAAGGGGAGCTAGAGGAGCGAATTCTTATCAGATCCAAATCATAGAGTCATCTATTGAATTTCTGTAAATGTTTCGCACGCCACGTGCGATTATCTACTCGAGGAACTGAAGTAGAGAATTCACTGTCGCTCGGGGGGCTTGCTTCGATCTAGCAGCTATTTGATTCGCTTGAATGGCGCAGTGAGACTTCATCCGCGTCTCAGCTTCCCTTCCCAGAAAAGCCCCCAACATTAGCTTCGAAGTCGTGCTTGGCTGAAGGGGGATTTCGGAAACGATCATCCGATCCAGAAAAATTCGATATCATGCTAATCCCGAGGAAGGGCTCCGTGCTGGACAGGACGGCTTTCCTTGTAGTAACGAGGGTTTGGTCACCCGTCTCTCCAGGAGGACTCGGCAAAGGGACTTTCGATTTATGCTGGAGACGCTTCCGGTAGAGCTCTATTTTCCCCCGGATGTCATCGCATCATTTGACCAGCGTTGAGAATTGAGAAGTGGTGGAACGGCAAACTTCGTCACTCCACTTTTTCTCTCAATCTATTCGGCGAAAGCCTTTTGATTGCTCAAGCGGGCACCATCTTCGTTCTTACCTCCGACGGAACGAAATGGTATCAAGCCGGATAGTAACAAGATCGATGCCAAGCCAAATTATGGCGGACAACTTGTGCCCAGAGGTATAGCGTGAATGCTACAGGGAACTTCGAGCTGATCACAGGGGCCGATCGCCGATCATCTTTCACTCCTTTCTACTTCCTCATCTGATCGCACCAACATCGAATCGGATGCATACTTGAGCTCTTTGAATTGCTCGAGCTCGGACCCTGAGTTTGCCGATGGGGGAAACTTCCCTACCCCCGGCTCAGAAAATATCGTAACGAAAATGGTTTCCTCATTTTTCCTCTTGGCGCCCGTTATCGATGTATCTGTATCGATCCGTGATGACTCCACGCGTTCAGCCGCCTGGTCTAACCTGGAAGATAGTTGGACATTATTCCTCTTGTGAGTTCTATATGCCTTGAACCACATCGGCCACGCTTTCTGAATCGAAGTGACTGAGAACATTTTTGTGCAATTATGGGAGTTTATCGGAATATATTTACGTAAGTTTATTTAAATAGTAGCACTACTTCATGGGTCCATCACCCACTTCATAGGCAACACTAGCACAGCTAAGTGTTTTTGAGAAACCGAGCTCTGTGTTCAATTTAACTCACATCGCAGCTGTTTGCATTATGGGGCGTGTATTCGGAGACGAAAGCAAAAAAACAGAAGGCAAGTTTTTACTTAGCCCATTCATCTAGTCGCTCCACCTCTAGAAAGCTTCACATTTCTGCGTCGGGTTGTAGCTCCCAGAACAGAAAAAAAAGTTTCGTGCCAGAGAGATGTAGTTGTTGATGGGGATGATCGAGATGGCCGCTTTGATGTTGCTGGGAGCTAACCCGCTTGTCTGCAGGAGAATCCGCAATGTTTTCTCTGGAGCTGCTCGAATTTAGTGACCCGATTCAATGTTCGCCAACAGCGGCGGGCGGACCGTGGGGGAGCAGCAAAAAAATCTGGGAGCAAAGAGCGAGCATGAAATAAAGATGGATATGAATGGACCCGTCGGGCGCGGACTTAAGGAGGGGCAGACGAGCGCTATTCGGTGTCTAAGCCGAGTCAATGTAAGCTCTATGGATTTGTCGCTGGGAACTGGAATGGAAAGTGAGGGAAGTCGGGGAAGAAAAGCGATCGACTGAATGTCTGGAACGGTCACGGGCGAAGGCGTGACGACAGACGTAGAGGCATTTACCCGAGCGTGCTTCATTTGAGACTCGGAGCAAAAAACCCGGGTGTAGCGTGTCTGTCGTTGGACGTCAGCAGTTGCAATATAAATTTCCCCCGGGACAGACTTGCGAGTTTTTGACCGCGCAGCGGCGACAATACCGCGCGATGTGGAGCCGATGGAGCAGTCAAACTCTAGACAGACTGGGAAACCTGTTCAACGAAATGAAACCGTCTCTTAATTCGAGTTATGAGAGGAAACCCCCGGCATTGGGCACAACGGGACTACATCAGAAAAGCAACTTCTCGAGGGGAAGGGAACTAGCGTGGCGATCGAGGCGGCGGCGAAAATTGCTCCACCGTTGGATATGCTCGGTGAACTTGCCATCAAACCAGAATTTCGCTCATTTTCTGACTCCTTCACGCACTTTGCTCGTCTTCTTGGTGCGAATTTTCGAAGCCGACGCATTACCGGCTCACTGAAGATTCGGGTTGCACACATCGCTAAGTGAATATACTGTATGGCTGGCTACTCGCGAGAGTTTGACGCGTACAGCGTCGAGAGCGGAAGCTCGCTCGTCCGTGAAGTGAAAGTCAACGCTTGCCCTTACCGAATGAAGGCCGGACGTACTCAACGGGGAAGCGTCGCATCTACTACATATATCCCGGACTCTATTCCGACTAAAGCCGGTTTTCTCTCGACGGTGCTTCGAAGCGTCCCTATCGACAGTCTGACATTGAACACCGCATAAACTCCAGGAACGTGTCGTTTGACTCAGCCCGAGGCTCATTCAGTCGCTTGTGTACTCTCGAGCCGGCGTCGCTGCTAGTTCTCAAACATCCACTCGCCGTTCCGCTGTCTGGGCGGTTTCTGTCATCCGAATTGCGAGCTGACACGAGCCCTGCCTCCTTAGAGCACTTGATTTCGTCCCTGGAAATTTCTAGGTCTGGTAATCCTTTATGACGCCTGCCTTGAGGCGCTTGACTTCGCTCGCGGTACTTCATTCGGGTCAGGGAGCCCGCTGGAGGATATCGGTAATAATTGGCGACCGAGCTGCCGAATTCCGGAAACATTTGTTTGCCGAAAGAACGGCAACGAAATTTCCATGCTGGCCGAGGATTTCGAATCATGAGTTCAATCAAGCCAGCGAAACCTCGCCGTATTCTCCGAAATCGCGCGGGAAGTTTCCGTCGAGAACGTTCTCGAAAATAATGCTGAATATTTGATTAGATCGAGCAGGACGTCAGTGAAGGATCTACCAAACGCTCGTTGATCGCGCGGTGAGCGAAAACGGACGGAGTCGAGAGCGAAAGTTGAATCTGAGAATCCTCTCCCACATGACGACACTAAGGTGGCGCGGCTCGCGTCTACGTCAGACCATGATGATATTAAAAAGACAGAGAAAGAGACGGAGTCGGAGAGTAGGAAGCGACAGGAGGAAATTCGTGTAAAGAAATAAGGAATCGGAGATCCCGAGGGGTTTGAAAATCGTATCCTCGAATTCTAAAGGGCTTGCTTTCGAGAACTCGCGGCATAACACGGAACAACATCAGCTGTTCGATAAGCTCGAGCATCAAGTCCGGCGAACGATAGAGACAGGCTTTTAGGGTTCCGTGAAAACAGCTCGAAGTCGAGCGGTGAGACATTCAAGCAGGTACTTGAAACATGGGGGGATATCCTGAAATTTCGCGTTTCATCCAGACCAAAGCAAACTTCCCGGGGAAGCTCTTCAAGGTTTGTGCCCAAGCTTAACGAAGTGTTGCCGGATTTTTGAACGGAATGCCTCTGTCGCCAGAAGGCTTCTACGATATCAAAGTTGTAGTCGATTTACGGAATCCTTAGTTCACGACTGGCGCATCTTCTCAATGGGTCTTTTAGCTCGACTCTCACTTTCTTAACTCTTCCTGAAGATGAGTTGCGGCTCACGATTTTGAGCCGCGGCTGGCTCGCCCTGCGGTGCGGGCGAAGTTCCTGGTTCACTGCTTTCCGGAAGCTAGGGGAGCTCGACTGCCATTCGGAAATGTCAAAAGAGGATTTCCATGACCGCTCAGGACTTTCCTGATTAGTGGTCGCTAGGGCTCCTCTCTCGAATTGACGTCAGGTAGCTCTCCCTTCCGTCGGCGTTTGACGTTTCTGTTTTGATCGAGGCGCCGTTGCTCACGGAAAATGAAAAGTACTCTTCGTTGAGCAGCGACACCAAGCAGAGCTCATTGAGGGCTCAACAGCGGTGCTGTAAAGGAAACGTCCAGGAGAATACCCCGCAAGACTTGGAACTCACGTAAGCTTGGAGAAGAGAATCACGGCTGTTCTTTGCAACCGGAATCGTGTCCAGAATCATGGGACATCGATCGGAGCTGTCAACTTTTCCGAGACAGGCTCGACTTTGTAATAGGGAAAATACTTTCGTGCGAAAAAAACAATCCCCGTGAGCCTGACTAGATCTTCCCAGACATTCAACTTCCGGGGCCTTACGGATACCACAGAATCGAGTGCCCGATTCCTATTGAGGTGAGAATATTCCTGGAAGGCCCCGCCCAGCTCGGAATGAGAGACGAGCTCGCCACATGTCTGTAGTTGGATAGTCGCGGATTAGCATTGCGGACTAGTCGCATCAGCATCGGATGACATCCTGCTGCCTTCTTGACATTTGCTGCATCCACTCCCGTGAGCTTCCGGTGCTGTCGGCGAATCTCACTGCCGTGATTGTATATTGGAGCCGCCGCTTCTAGACCTTCATCGATCGTCCTCTTGAACGATCAAGTTGCGACGGGACTCGGTGCTTCTCCGAGCTGAGATAACTTCTCCATACTTCTACGGCTGTGTGTGCAAGATATACGATGCCTCATCGGCTGAGAGTCTTCGACATTGAGCAATTGCCAAGGATCATACGGAGCAGACTGCGCCCAGAGAATGTAACCCCTTATTTCCCGCTCCCGGTGTGTATCCACGGGCTACCTTCCCGTCTGTCGGGTTCTCAGCTGACTGGTAGGTTTACGTTGTTCTGTCTCATTGTTGCGTGAGGTTCGGCTAGCTTCGGATAGTCGCTATTTGCCAGTGGCAAGCGGCCGTTCCCTTGCCTCGCCTCGGCATCTACAGTCTGATCAGGTGGGCAAGACACTCACCAACTAACGCTACTCCAGAATGGTAAGCTCCTTGAAACGACGATTTTTTCGAACATTTTGACGGGGGTTCCATCTCTTTCTGGTTCGGAAAGCCCGCAAAACTCAGACTCTGAGGACTCTCATTATGAGACTCTCATTCCATTGAGTCTTCCTTTCTCGAGCAGCATCATCCTTATCGTCGAACCCTCGAAATGAACCCTCATACGTCCTTCTGCAAACAGGGACTTTCGAAAATTTCTTTCGGGAATCTCCGGGAAAACGATGGGCCCTGGTGACTGACGTTAGATCGAGTCCGAGAGTTCCGTCAGGCTCCCGCCCATCCGCAGCAATCAACGCTAATTTGCTTTCCGGAATGGAAATCAGATATCGATCTCGGAAGACGGAGATTGTAATTATTCAAAAGCGATCAGTCCGACATCCTTTTCCCGGTCAAAATGATTTCCTTGCTTAGCTCACGATGTAACGCAGGATTCAGGATCCAATTCAAACACCCGCGACTCTTCTCCCTGATCGTAAAAAACTGATGCCGGCGAAATTTCGAAGCGTCTTGCCTCGACCTAAGCGAAACACACGGTTGGGTCGAGTACTTTTTCTCGTCTTCCCTCTGCATCTGGGGCAATGAAAATCATACCTGGCTGGCTCAGAGCTGACCGATCTGTCCGTCTTGTGAGCTGTCGAGCTTTTGGACAAACGTGCCGTCTGGCATAAAAAAATTGATGACGTGAATTTCTACGTTCCGGAGCGAGCGAGACGGGAATAGCCATGCCGGGGTGAAATGTGGTTGTGCCGAGAGTTTTTTCCCCTCGCGGCTTTTAGAACCATCTCGGAGTGAACCACTGTTGACAGTCAAGTCCGTGAGTCTAGACCGCCAAAAAAAGTCTTCCCGCTTCCTCCTTTTGACGCTGCGTGTCAGCTTTGATTCCGAGCATCCTGTCACCTTGCGAAGGGACTTTATTTTTCTCAATGCAATTATCACCAGCGACATTCGCTCCGTCCTTTGCGCGAAGGTTGATTCGATCGCAATCGACATCCGCTGTTTTGAAGTACATCGAAGAATATTTATTCATCAACTCATTCCCGCTTGTCGAACGCATGCAGTGTATTTGTCGCTCGAGAAGTGAAGTCAGCTCGGGCCAGCGGAACCCACCCCGAGCCGCGCGGGCAAAGATTCCAACGGTGCGGCAAAGAACTTCATTTACGATGATCTGAAATTGGAAATTTGTTTACTCTTGAACATCGTAGCGCGCAATTTTCCGTAGTGATGTCGGTTCTCACTCTCCGGACAGTCCTTGCTATCGTTGATTGGATGAACAACTTCAGTAATCAATATCGGAACGAACACTAAGGTGTGGCTCCCGAAGGACGACAGACAATCGATTTAGCACAGCGATCTACACGAATATCCAAAGCTATCAACCAGCGAATTCAACACACGTGGGATTCCCAAGCGGCAGAGTGAGACAAGACGCCTGACGAACCTAACGATACCATAGATGCAATTACGAACCTCTCTGATCGATACACATGCTTCCCCCGCACCGGGCGATGAACGGAAAGGTGTAGTCCTTCGCGAGAGACGGATAAATGATTCTCAGAACGAGCCGCGGAATCGAAAATTCACCGTTGGTTGTATTCAGATAATTGCCTTTATAATACGCTTCGAAAGAAAATGCTGCGAGAGCTCTTTGTGCTACTGCGATTTGATCTTGCTAAATATTTACATCCTTCGGAACGCCTTAGTCGTGTCCAGATCAGGACACAATACAGTCGATCAACTTGGTCATATTTCTCTAAGCTAAGCGCTCCACGTATGCTCCCCGAACGTAACTCCCTTGCATGTACGATGCAGTTAGGCGATGAATTTTCAAGGAACGTCTCCAAGCAGAATCCCTTCCGGAGAGCCGCTCCAGGCTCTGTGTAAACCATGGCAGGAGTACTCAGCTCTACTTATTTCCTTGCAGGGACTGTCGTTCTCAGTTCGCGATCGCGAATCAATGTCGGTCAAGGGCCTGCTACCTCCGGCGGTGAGGACAACCGAACTCGAGATGAAAGCTGTCCTCCTCAACTTGAGCTTGTATTCCACGCCTCTCGCCAAGTACTGCTATCTGAGGGAACTTCACGTGAGTGGGGTGCTAATTCAAGGGATGTGAAGTTTCATCCCTCTTTAGGAAGATGCTTTGATGATATCTGATCGTGGTTTGGTCCAGCAAATTAGTGTCCGCTCTGCGAGAAATTGTGGCATGGTCGGCAGTGGGCGGTCGAGATCAGATATACAGGAGCTCTATCTCGCTCAAGATAGCGGCCAGGAACTTCGGAAGATTATTTCGAATTAATTAGCTACTCCCACTCCCAAGAGGGATTCCCAGAGCGGGAACGTTCCTATCGTTCGATTCCTTAGAGCACCATGATTTCCCCGAAACTACTTAGGCGAGGCTCGAGAACATCTCACCGCCCCGCTCGTCGAGGGAACTTGGCCTACATAATCAGTCGCGTACGTGGGAATAAGGGGAGCATGCACCCCTTCCTACTAGACAAGATTTTTGAGTCGTAATCTCGAGAATGGGCTTCGAGGTGCGCGTTATCATTTTTAAGCCTTACCCCCTCTCCCCACCCAGAAGAAAAAAACGGATGTTCGCGCCTGTGCAGAATCATCGAATCGAATCCATTCAGATGTTCGGGATTTCGAGAATCGATTTTTTTCAGGATTACAACGAGAAGCTCTTCTTCCGGGTTATGAAAGATCACACCGAGATGCTCATGCCTCTGGTGTACACCCCGACCGTCGGCGACGCTTGTCTGAAGTATTCCCTCATCTTCAGGAGGCCAAAAGGTCTCTTCATCTCTATCAAGGACAAGGGCAAGGTGCGAAGGCCGCTACACCCCTCAAAGAAACGTACCATTATATCCGCTCCCGGCATGCGCGACGTAATCCCGACCTTTTTATGACTCGAGAAACTTCTGATGATCGATTTATCTTCGCAGGTGAGCGAGGTCCTCGCCAATTGGCCCGAGAAAGAGGTTGAAAGCATCGTCGTGACCGACGGTGAACGCATTCTCGGCCTCGGTGATCTCGGAGCCAACGGCATGGGTATACCTGTCGGCAAGCTCGCTCTGTACACGGCTCTTGGTGGTATCCCTCCCGAGAAGACCCTACCCATCACATTGGATGTCGGAACAAACAACGAAAGCAACCTCAATGACCCGTTGTACATCGGACTGAAGGAGAAACGTGTCCGCGGGAAACTCTACGAAGAGTTCGTCGAAGAGTTCATGCAGGCCGCGGTCAAGCGTTTCGGGAAAACTTGCTTAATCCAATTCGAGGACTTCGGGAACGCGAACGCTTTCAGCTTGTTGGCCAAGTACAAGAACTCGTACTGCACTTTCAACGACGACATCCAGGGAACAGCTGCCGTCGCCGTGGCTGGGCTCATCGCGTCTTTGAGAATCACTGGACGCTCGCTCCAAGATCAGGTTGTCCTGTTCCAGGGAGCCGGGGAAGCGGCACTGGGTATCGCCGATCTTCTCTGCCAAGCCATGGTCAAGGAGGGTATCACGGACAAGGAGGCCGCTTCGAAAATTTGGATGCTTGATTCTAGAGGTAGGTGCTTCGCTGTGAGTTCTTGCTCTCGTATTCGGTCCTGATTCGGGATCGACGTAGCTCCCGAGTCTCCAACGAACGATTCTCGCCACAGGGCTGCTGTGCTTCGAACGTCCCGACGAAATGAACGACCATAAACTTAAGTACTCCAAGGAGTCGCCGTTGACGAAAGACCTCCACGAACTGGTCAAGAGGGTGAAACCGACAATCCTCATCGGAGCCTCGGCTCAAACCAATGCGTTCAACGCACAGATCCTCCAGAACATGCTCGAATTTTCCTCAAGACCTGTAATTTTCGCCCTCTCAAATCCAACTATCAAGGCGGAATGCACCGCTGAAGACGCCTTCGTGCATACCAAGGTAGTTATTTTCCACGACTCTCGGGCTCAGCCCACAATCGAGAGGCATATGTAGTCAAGCTCCCGAAGCTCGGATGATCGACTCATCGCCGATGACTCATCGGAGATCACCTTCAATAGCTGTGTACGATTCCTCCTGCTTCCAGGGAAAATGCGTGTTCGCTTCGGGATCGCCTTTTCCTCCAGTCACCTACGAGGGTAAGACCTACTACCCTGGCCAGGGCAACAATGCCTACATTTTCCCCGGAATCGCCCTTGCCGCAAACGCGTGTAAAGCAACTCGTATCGACGATGAGGTTTTCCTCATAACTGCCAAGGTAGGTCGAGTCCGCGTACAGCGGAATGTTCAAGAGACACTATTGGAAAATTATCATTACGCAACCGATTCTTGGTCGAGATCTCTTCTGAGAACGAAATCGAATCGTTACAGACGGTGGCGGAAATGGTGTCACAGGCGGATCTCGACGAAGGTCGAGTGTATCCGCCTCTTTCGAAAATCCAAGACGTATCGTTCAAGATCGCTGTCGCGTTGGCCCAGTACTTCTTCGACACGGGAGTGGCCACCGTATCGCCCCAGCCCAAAGACATGGAAAGCTTCATCAGAAGCAAACAGTACGATTTTAGCTATCCTGGAACCGTGAAACTGAATAAGTAGTTCGATGCGAATAGGGGCGAATGTTTACCGAGCGAGGATCACGTTACCGAAGCAATGAATTATTGACACATGTTGCGTTTCAACATTATACTGGCCATCCTACTGTCTCCGGCTCCTGTTGTTTTGTACTTGTCGCGGCGCAGAAGGCGCTTCTGTGGAAGCCGCGAGCTTCCATCCGATGGTTCCGTTGATTAGATCGTCGTGTAAATAATTTCGAGCGAAAACGATTCGAGTAGCGAGTAGAATAAACTCCCGATCCCAACGCGGAGCGCGACCCTCTAGAAGCTTGACGCTGAGACTCACCGAAAGTCTTTCTTGAACCGATTGTATTGGGACGAGAGTTTTGTCCGAGGTTTCGCTGAAATCTTTCCCCCTGAGTGTTGTGAAGAATTTTAAGCCGGCAATGGGTAGGGTGGAGCGGACTTGGGAGCACATGCAGAAGCCATGCAGGCTCCTCGTTCACAAGCAGTCGGATTCAATATTTATCGCTAACATTAGCTGCGACCTTGCGGTCTGATGATGTTTAAAAATGACTTGGTCAAAATTATTCGTTGATATATGCCCTCGTTATCCTCGACTCCTCAAATTTACGTTGTCGTTGAATTATTCTCTGAGAATGTGTGTTTATATCGCCTGACCTAAAAATAAATCTACACCCACTATATTTAACAACCCATTATGAAACTATAATACGAGAATTGAAAATAAACACAAAATATCTGCCAGCTGAAGAAAGGAAATCAATAGACCCTCATTGTTTCTGTCGAGCAGAACTTCGACTTCTTATATTTTCGATTCATTCGGCTTTTGACTCCGAACTTCCTAACGCTGTACAAGGAATTCGTCGCTCTCTTTCTACAATGGGAAGCTCCTCGGCCAAGAGGTCTCGAGCCTCCTGTGGCGGCTTCGGACGTGCGATACTTCAGGGTTGGTACCTAATTGGTTTACCTAACTGCTTGCGTCGATTTTGGGAAGGTTCACGGGGGATTGTTCACATAATTTACAATGATGGAATTATCAATATTCAGCACTCGTCCAGCTCTTCTTCGTCCTCGTATCCTTCTTCCAAATCGTCGGCCCTGAAGGGGAAGGTTTTTGCGACCTCTTCCTCAACCATCTCGGCCTGTCGACGGCGCAGTTCCTCCAGTTCCTCCTCTGTCACGACCGGCTCGTTTACATTCGGTAGCTGTTGAATCGATGTTCCAAGATTAGCACTATTTTCATTACCATCATCCTTTTAAGCTCATTGAAGCAGCGGCGGGAGAGCGAACTTGCGCTTTTGCATTTGCCTGGACTCATACCTAAAACTCGGCTTCTCTATGGAAGCCGGAATTCCTAAACAATAACTATCGGCGGGTCTCGGTAATTGCAAACGGGACTCCCGTCATCCCACACGAGAGAGCCCAGCGATTCGAGGTGTTCGGGAATGCAGATTGATGACCCGTGATGTGAACGAGTCGACACTAAAAGGGGACATATACTATCCCAGATGGTATAGGGTTGGCCTATCCCGTTGAGTGGCTTACCTCAGCGTCGTCCCATTCTTGGCGAGCTGCTTCTTTCTTTTTCTGAAACTGGATATACGGGTTCAGCTTCCTCCGACTGGCCCTCGGTTTAAACTCGGGATTGGCGGAATGGCGTCTCATATGTGCCAAGAGATGAGTTTTCCGGTGAAATTGTTTCGAGCATTGACCACAGGAATGCCTCTTCTTGTTCGTATGGACCTAAGCCAAGGAAGAGCAATCTCTTTTATTTTATAATCAGCCTATTTCAATATTCGAATGATTAGCGGATCCGAGTAGAATATGGATTGGGAAGTAGCGACACAAGCCAAGCTTGAACCTCTCTCAGCGACACCCGTCCCTCCTCGAGGGAGCCACTTACCGTTTTATGCTGCTGGAGTAACTTCACCGTATTGTAGGCCTTGAAACATCCATCGTAAGGGCATTGGTAGAGTCGTTCCCGATTGTGTTCGGTGATAATATGAAGACTGAGTCGCTCCTTCGGCGTTCGTTTATAGGTGGTGTCTGTCACGAAGAATTTCTTACCACACTTTTCGCATGAAATATATGGCTTCTGGGGCTTGCTGAGAGAACTCTCTGCTTTGGTTTCCTCAGGCCCCGGTTCGATCGTCTGCGGCTGCAATAATATGGAATCTTCTTATTTCTGGCTGAAAGAGCTTCGCAGTGGAGTTTTCACGAAAATGCATCGACTAAGGGATCTCAATCGATGAGAGCATGAGGGAGAGGAGGGTCGAATGGAACGCTCCTCGCGAGCCTCTTATCGCTCGCGCTCCTCCCGACAACTTACAACTTCAGCGACGGACTCGGCTGGCTGGGGTTTGACTTCGGCTTTGTCCACCGGCTCTAGGACAAGTCTCGCGACTCCATCGGAGTCGACAACCCGGCGACAAATCATAGCTCTCGGAGATTGGGTTTGCTGTTCCATGATCGTGGCTCCCGCCCGAGCACGATTTCTCCTGTCCTCGGTACGCTGTGAAAATGTGATATCGCCGAATAAAATTAATGGGTCGGCCCCTGGGACTGCCCTCACCCTGACATAAGCTTGAAGTAAAGTTCAGAATATTTGAGAAGCAGAGAAGTTGGTCGCTTGTTTAAGTCAGCTTGAGTCGACACGTGAACGCCTCAAGGGAGATAGTCCGAAGGCCGCCGTGCCTCAAATTCTGCAGGTGTCATCAACTCACCAATGATTCTTAGTAGACCGAGTTTACGCTTTTTAGGTATTTATGAAAAGTTGGAGATCGCTAAAGAGTGACAAATCGTTGACCTGACCACAAAACAGAAACTTGTGTTCATCCATTTCCGAATCAACGCATTGAGACCGCGGGCGGTCTGCTGAAGTGGTTTGAAGACGACCCCTGATGTCAGCCTCTCATGGCTAATCGTCCCGCTTTTTTAGAGCTTCGAGCACCGTCGATCATGGAAGCCAGAGATTCTGCATAAGCCGAGTTTATGAGGAAGTTTCGCCCATAGCGCATGCTTCGAGTCGAGCAAAAGAAGAAGCTTTCAACTGCAGAAAAAAGGAGACGATGATCTTTGCCGGAAGCTCGAGCGCGATCGGGCGCTCTCATTTATTTCTCGAACTCCGAGCTCTCTACTCGATTCTTCGATTGGAGTTATATCCCGTGATTCCGATGATTGATTCCGCTTATGAGGGATTCTTGCATCGAGAGCGCTCGTCCGTCAGCTCCTCAGCTTTTCTAGATCGTGGGTCAACTCGAGGCGGCATTCGGCTCCGTTGACTCATCTATCGAAACCTCCCCAGAGCCGCTGATATTGTGACTTCCGGCTGCTCAATGTGAATAGCCGTCGTGAGACCTGTCGGCGCGTGGAGGGTCCGCAATCAATCGTCGCTTCTGAGAGCATTACTGCCACGCCGCGCAACATGCGCCTATCCCAGAAACGAGTTGAGAGAGGTCCCTATAAATTATCCGAGGAATCCCTTGCGATAAAGATCGACTTACCGAGCGCTATATGAAATACATGACTGGTCAACATTATCAGCTCGCATCCATAGCGAGTCTATCCAGGCCATGCTTATTGCAGCGCCAGAGTGTCCGGCCTCGAGGAATTCCTAGTCTTGCGGAGCGTTGTTTGCAATATTCATCTCGTAGAGGAGCCGAGTTTCTGAGCCGATTCGGAAACGTTATCCGAGTTGCAACGCTCAGGCCGATCGCTCACGAATCACGTTCTGTGAACTCAGGATTTCGTAGCCTCATGGAGAATTTGTCCTTCTTAGCTGGAGGAAAAGACGTTCACAACAAACGTTATAAACCTTGTAGATATCATTCGTGGAGATCCGCGCATGAAGTTGAAATATCAACACCGGCTGACAGTGCCGAATTTAGAATTCTGCCACCGTGAGGCTGAGCTGGGAATTACCGCGCACGGCTAGAACCTTCTCAGCCTTCGGGGAAATCCGGTACTGCCGGCTGGGGACGATTGCCCAATAGCACGCAGAACACGAACGAGAGCTCTGAGCAGATCTTGTCTTTCGGATATCGCCGAATCTTTGAAGAGATCCGCATGCGAGACCTCCGGAGGCACACCTACATTGAACGAAGTCGAGGTATCAATCGAATCCAGTCAGTTGATCCATTTCACAAGTTTCACCGAAGACAGTAACCCCAATCTTGGGACCGGGGTGCTCGATTCCAAATCACCGTGGGCTAAAAGAACCGGGTGAGTTGAGCGAACCTTCGTTGAGAAGGACCCCTTCGGGGGTTGGTGGATGGGTGATAGAGGAGTCGGTATCGCAGTCCGGCTCATGCACGGAGACCCGTCGATCGGTCGGGCAGGAAAATTTTCCCGGCGGGGAGAACCAGCCGCAATCATTTTCGAACCTTAGCCCCGTCTCGGTGGGGTAAAGCCGGAGATGAGGCGGAAAACTCTTTTCCGCTTCGCGATTGAGCTAATTCTTTTTCGCCGAAACGATCGTTCCGAGTGAGAATCAAGCAAAATTCGCACACAAATCCAGTGTTCATATTGTGGATTTGAGCAGGCTCTGTCCGATGCATCGGGTAGTCAAGCGGTGTTCATCCGACGTCACGGGGCAACGGGGGAGCTCGCACCGTCGAACGGACTTGAGTCTGCCAATTCGAGGGATATTATCTGATCATCCCGGCTTCGTATTACGGCTTTGTGAGATGTGAGTCAGCTGGACGAGGATTCAGACGCGTCCAAGTAGAGAGACTCGCGAGGCGTCTCCGAAAGATACTCAAACACATCAGACCCTTCCCCCCTCAGCGAGCCTCGGACTGAGGGGGGTGGGGCTGACCCCGGGAAACTGTTTGCTCTTCTCGATTCTCGCGAGGACCAGAGGAAGAGGAGAGGATCAGAAGGCATATCGGCTCGAATCCTCTCCCGACCGAGTGTTGCGCCGGAAACAGGGACGTTCTCCGAACGTTCGGTGCGAGCATAAACCCGTTCCTAAACGAAAATGGGATTCGATACGCCCACGAGAGAAGTAATCTAGCGGAGTCGTCAGTTCGTTACTCGAGAACCATCTATTTCCGTGCGGCTTGCATCACTCATTGAAGCCGCTCTTCGGTGCCAGGAGGCGAGATCCACAAGGAGTTCGAGCCTGCCCGGTCATTTTGTGCTCTCTCACCCTCCCTCACGCGTATCCGCGTATCTTCCGGAGCTAATACAAGCAGTCGCTCGTGCCGTTCTTCATTCCCGTCACGCCACCCGTTCTCCGAATCGAGAGCATATCGCTGCTGCCGTCATGGAGTTCGGAACTCTGATCGCCATCTCCTGCCTCATGGTTCTTCCAGCAGAGTGCATCTATGGGCAAAATGTTTTGAAACTCGGTCTCGATGATTCCACAAGTAAGTGTGCACGGCGGATTTGCTTACGCCAAATCGCTCGGAAGCCTCGCGGCCGAGGGAGTTTCGGTGCCGCAGTCTATTTACTCCCGTGGAACTCGGAGATTTTCCTCTCGGTGCGTCTAGCCAGCCTAGGCGGATTCAGAGTGGATCGTTGCCACCTCTTCACGCTCTCATGAGGTTGGACTGAAACCAGAGTCCCAATTTCAGGTGTCGAAGACCATCTGACGCTGCCTCACTTCATGGCAACCATGAGCAAGATTTCGAAAGGGATGCCCATACAGATGAGAGCCGTACCGATGGTGGTTGGAACGAAAAAAGAGATCCTCGCTCTGAAAAAGGTAAGCCGACCCTTGCGATCGATTAGCCCGATCCGAGGTACTGGACTCGTCTCTGAGATACGGGGCCGAGACGTTCTCCACGTTGAATCCGTTCAACCATTCCACTTCAGGAGCTGAATCTACCGATGACATTGCCGCCCGATGTTCTCAAAGCGAACACCTCCGACGACGACATTGTCGCGGTGCCGGTGACCGCAGACCTCTTCAACCAGCCTATCTTCGGCCTGAATTTCGCCTCGCAAGTGTTGCGAGCGAAAAACGGATCGTGCGGAATACCCCTGAAGGAAATCATGCCTCTTATGCAGACATATGTGATCTCTTCGATCGTCCATGAGAGCCCGGACATAATCCTAAACATGCTCCGTATCCTGGTCGGTCCGAAGCCCGACGGAACGAAGTCTGCTCTAACCTTCAACAAAGATATCGCCGGAAATTTGAAGAAGCTGCTGAACATTTCCGCAAGCAGTCCACTCCTCGTTCAGATCTTGGCCAACTTCGACTCAACCTTCGTTCCAAGCTTGGTTAGCGCGATTCTGGGAGCGACCGAGGAGCGGAACTGATCATAACTAACATCTTCGGGACAGATTTTTTCTATTAACGATGTATAATATATGCTTTTGTGTAAAAGAACGCTCAGTAGAGGTCTTGCTGCTATAAATGCAGGAAGGTGGAATAAATTATTCGTGGTATCCCGGTGTCTTTTTGGACAAGCTTTCGCTCTCAGAACTGGACGCTATCATCGGTTTAGGCTTGCGATCGAGCTGTCTCTGCGAAACCCCGACTGAGCATTGTCCGATGAGCCTGGTTATGCTGATTCTGATTGTACTCCCAAGATCTCCCAAGGTCAGTGGCTTCATTTACTTGTGTCTCCGCAACAAAATGACGTCGGATAGCCATTTGTCGCGAGTCTAGAAGTATTCTCATAGATTAGGCCTTAAGGTGGAAAAAAGAAATAAGCAAGAGTCCTGAGTGTTTCAAAAAACTTTTGGCTTTCGATCTTTAGAACATATTTACACTTTCACTCCCACGCAACGATATATCTGGACATGCTTGATACGGAAAATATTTTTCTTAGATCCCTAAATGATAAGATTCCTTCATACTGTCAGCGAGCTCGGTGCGTTCGACCCTATCACGACGTACTCTCCCTTACGCCTCAGGGACTCCTCTTCGTCGCCCCGGCTCTGTATTTTATCGGTGATCATCGTCAGCATGACCAGAGACGCAGTCAGGAGGATATACACCGTCGTTATCTGCAACGTCCTCGCGTAGCCCACCATGTCATCGATGAGGCCTCCAGCGACCGGTCCTATGAAGCATCCGCAGAACATGGCGGCCATGAAAACGCCCGAAATGAAGCCGTGTGTGCTGATGTCATCGGGGAAACCGAGGCGGTGCACCGCATAGTGCATGCCGTGCAAAGTTGAACAGACGTACATGGCACTCATGCCTAAGCCGATCAAGCATTGAGCGCCGATTTGCAAGGGCAACGTTATCTCAACCCCCAGCATCTGGACGGGGCGCATCAGGAACGTTCCAACAGAAGTAATCAGTGCGCCGACTATCACGAGATACCGAGGGTCCCCGACAATCTGGACACCCGTTCCCCACATCATGGACGATACTCCGTACACCGTTGCGCAAATTAGGAATACGAGACCCAGTTTTCCGCCGGTCATTTCGTATCGTTTCAATTCACCCGACAGCGTTACGTCATTGTAGTTCATGATCGAGAGTGCGCAGACTGTGGCCAGCAGATCGGTGAACAGCTGTGCGTCGAGGGAATGGAAGTTGATTTTCGTCGATTGGTTCTCCTTAAGCTCGGTGGGCGGCAGGAAAACCCAAGCGATCATTCCCACGAAACAGCCGATGGCTCCGAAGACGTAACAAGGAAGAGGGTAGCCGCCGAGCTCGTGCAGAAAGCCTCCAAAGGCCGGTCCGAGCATCATTCCCAAACCGAACATTGTCTCCAAGGTAGCGATGGCGATATTCTTGTGATCCGGAAGCTCAGCCGATATTATTGAGTAGAAACACGTGGAGCAGAGCGAGGCGCCCAAGCTCTGTACGATTCGACAGAAGAAGTTCGCGAGGAAGAACGGCGTTCCGCTGGGCACTGCGTGGAGCCAGCCCATAACCGCGAAGAAACTGCCGCCGACGAAAAGACCACTGACAAGAATAATTTTCGATGAGAATCCGATCGATAGGAGGCTCCCTACGATCGGACTCGAGAAGAATCCGCACACCGCGTATGTTGCGAAAACCAGACCGACTTCGAACTGAGAATTATCCTTCAAGCGCGCTTCCTCCGGGTAGAAGGGTGCCAGAACTCCGTAGGTAGTGGTGTTGGCAAGAACGCCAAGGGTGGCTATCAACATGACTTTCCATTGCCTTCGAGTGAGAGCCATTCTCCGGACTCCAGGATCTGTGGAGAGAAATGAACCATTAGACATGAGACAATTTCTGTGTTTATTCTCGATCGCGAGCTTTCTGTCTCCATGGAAGCGGAAGTCTATTTAAATTCTCCGGGAGAGGAACAGAATAAGCGGAAGAATCGTCGACCGATTGCTCCTAATGATTCAAGAAAGATGCAATTTTCGCGGAATAGTCGATTCGCGGAAGCATTGCGAGCTATTAGACTACTGGATCGGAATCAAAGTCCGCACTCGGGTGTCGTCGACGAATGCAGCTTCTGAGACACTTTGAGGCTTGTGAAGAATCCGACTCTTCTTCATTCAGTTCATCATTATCACCGTGGACTACGGATAGGATGTCTGACTGAACCACCGTGCGTCGGCTCGTCTAGACGCTTCCCGGGGCTCTTGGTGAGAACAATTCATCGCATAGCTCTTAGTAGGATGATGCACGGCGCGATCCAAGGAACCGGAGGATCAACAGGTTCTCTGCTGGGGACTCAATGTGTTTCTCGCGCTCCCGATCTCTGCGCTGTGGATTGCAGTACACGAGATACACTCACTCGAGGCTTATCTCTTACCTGTCACTTCCATCATCCACGTTTCGTCGGAAGCAGCCAATGGTGTCCTCAATCAAAAGTCGAATCGATCACAGTTTTCCGCATATCGGGGACTCCGAGCTCTGAGACGGAAGGATCTGAGAGCTCTCAATCGAATACGTGGCAAAACCTCTCTCGTAGCTTTTATAAGACGATTTTATTTCAGTCCATGTCAAAGCAGAGGCGTACTTAGGGGGGTCAAGGGCACTATAGCCCCCCCCCCCCTCCAAGATTTGTTCGTCACAATGGTAAGGCATAGGAAAGGGCCAGCATCTTGGAGTCTTAGCCCCGGCCAGGACGCCAGATGCTTGAGCGAACAGAGGAGCTTCCTCTTGGCGGGATATTCTTGGACTAAGGGCTCCAAGGTCGATGATTTTTATCCGCCGGCTGGGAGCTTCATGCAGCTCTCCTTTTCCAGCAAGTTCATGACAAACTATCCGGATTTGATTCCTCGATTGTGCGATGCGACAAGTTTCCGCATTTCGCGTATAAGCCATGTCGAAATCGCAGGGCTCGTGAGCGTAAACACTTGAAGGAGTGAGAGAGCCATCACGAGCTCAGAACTCATCAAGCCACGATTCATTACGATACCGGGCGGAGGAAATATATCCTGTCTCAAACGGAGCTTTGGAGCGTCATGAAGCCCTTTCATTGAAGAGCTCCGGGTCTCTCGGAACGCCCGGGTATGAACGAGGCCGATGAGCTTGTCGTATTTCTCCCGCCCGCGCTCGCGAATCTCAGGCCGCTCTGAGCCGCAGGGTGATTTCCTCTCTCTTCGTCATCAGTGGCCGCGAGAACGAATTGAAATGATGATCTGGATATATAGAGTCAGAAATTGCTCGATAAGTCCTGCAGCCGGACCTCCCCTATACGAGCGAGGCCATTACCGAGTGTATGTAAAGTCGGACGCGATTGTCCCGCTGCGATGGCTAGACCCACAAGTCCCTCTTCGGTGTGTGAAAAAAACGGTGCGGAATAATTTCGGCTCGTTTCCGCATCCACGAGAAGCTGCCCCCCTATGGAGCTCCGGGAGGAGATTTCCGCCGCCTCTCGCAGATATCTGGGGATCGACCCTTCGGTCCCATCGGCGCCACTCGATATGGGAGGAGCCTACGGAGGCGGAAATGTAGTCAATGATTTCTGATGGATCCAAGTAGTGCCCGATTGAACGTAGAAGCGCACCAGATCTTTTATCGAGCCGATGATAGCATTGAATCCCTTCGACATCCGAAAGACCCATGAAACTAATCTTCTCCCCTTGTTGTGGGAAGTCACTCAGGGCGATCTTCTGGTGTGAGGAAATTCAATCACGAGAATCGATGGGAGACAACCGCTGTAAAGATCATGATTCTAGGAATCACACTCTGGCTCAAAAATAATCAAGAGTCCATTCCATACCCGAGAAAGTGCTGACGGTTTATCGAATACCCGGAAAGCTACGATTCTGACTCGATCGTTATCTGTCGGAGCAGACACTACTCCAAAAATTGGCACGTGTTTCGCAAGACGGATTTTTCTCGTATGGAAAGCATGGAACTCATCGGGGACACTTGGTGCATTCCAGCGTCTCTCCGTTGCTAATTCCGAGCCGGCATGAGCGGACGCAACGAGAGGTCACGAGGGTGGTGCGCGGCGTCTACTATTCACACACTTGATTTGTTAAGTATCAATTCAAGCCTCCCCACGCGCTCAGCTGTCTCAGAGCGCCTCTACAGGCTTCTGCCTTTGCCCAGTTGCTAGGACACGCAGCCGACTACAAGTGAGCTTGGGAAAGGGTTTCTTCGAGATCGTCTGATGCCGTCTCGGCTGCGGCAACGGGGAAGCTGATAGTCTTAGAAATTCCCGCTTGATCGCGATCTCAGAATTTTTTCAGCAAAAATAATACATGGAGGGTCCGGACTACAGAGAACTATGTGTTTGTCTCGTACGCGAGATAGGTATCTTGAGAGAATTCAGAAGGCTGATTCATTGGATTCCCCAGGCGAGTTAGTCCAGCCGAAGCCCCGAATATCATACGAGGTAAACCACCGCAAACGACGGATCGCTCGACCAAATGCTCTCGAATGAATGAACACCGATCGCGTCGTGAGCTCCCGGCAACCGGAGCTGGACTCGGGTCAACTCTCGCGGGAGTGCCGTGTCTCCACAGGCTGGAGCCGGATCGTGCGAATTCGCACGTCAACACGCGCTTCTTCATCCCATTGACCACGTGATGCATCAACCCTGTCGTAGCCTCGGACATTCTCTCAGAAAGAATTCAGCACTAGACACGTCTGGAGAATGGCTACGCAATTATACAATGAAGGACAGGTTGTGATCGGGTCTATCGGTCGAAGAAAAGAACTAAATCAAACCTCTCTGAGATGATCTGACGAGGGTGCTCGTGAGAAGCATTCAATGGCAAGAGTCACGGTCGAACCACTCTGAGCGGTCAGAAGAGCTTCCGACTCGTACAAGGATGGAATTCTCCCGGCGAATGCGACACACGATTCTCGCACTCATGAGCTCGGGCGAGACTGAGCACAATAAATCGGAGTCTGGGAGGCGACGAAGTTTGAAGTTGTTGTAGGTCGAGTTCAACAACAATTCATATCGATCCTTCCGTGACTCGGTTGCGTTCTTCGCGTAGATATCGCTAGAATGCTATTCCGGTCAGGGTAGCTTCAGAGATGCTTTCGATCCCTCTAAGGTCGCGAGAAGTCAGCTCACACTCGACCGCGGGAAGACGTTCCACGTAGAATCGCCGATCGGAAAAACTCGCTCTGGAGGATTACCTCAGTACTTCACGGTGCAGTCGACTCACCGGACGGACTGCTCAGCCCGAATGAACGCTGGGCTCGCCGGACGACAGGGTATAGTGAGCCTGGTCGTGAGGCGGCTGTTTCAATGTATTTTTCATTTATCCCACGTCAATCTCTCCGGCGACCAGTTCCGTCTACTCTTGTGAGCGAGCACACGTCAACTCATCAGGGTGAAGGGTTCACTTCAATTCTGAGAGAGGGTTAGATGCCAGCGATGTCGATTCTCGTTAGGACCGAGATTTTCTGCGGAGTCGGTGACCAGATCTCGTAGGCGGAAAAAATATAGCGCCATCAGCCAGATCGGTAGTGAAGTCTCCGTAGGGGAAATCTGAGCGAGGAAAACCCGGTGGTCGTCAGAGCGATGAGTTTCGCGCACCTATTCAGGGAAACTGAATCACTTTGGAAGCGGGTGTGGTCCCTCAAACGATATCCGCATCCTTGACGGTAAAATGTAACAAAGACATGGGACGAAAGCTCCCTGCTCGTTTCCAGTTTCCACCGATGCATGAAGGGTTCCGATCTTCGATCGAGCCGTCACAGACGGCGAAAATATCAGCAATCGAGCCACTGAGACTTGTTGCCGTTCAAAAATGAAAGGCAAGTCGAGGAGTTTGTCTTGTTCCCTTTCAATAACTGGATTCATTCTGGAACTTCTGAGAGTACCGGATTACCCGAGTTTCGAGGGAATATGTCGCTAGGAGAAACAGGATCGCTCTCGCTCGGAATCACAAGGAGTGTAGAATTACGGCAAAGAGGAAAAAGAAAAGGATGAATCGACCGCATGACTCATTTCCGGAAGGATCACCTGGTTGTAACTATTCAATTCGCACGGGAGCGACTTCACGATGTTTCTGTTCGTGTCTGATACTTACGTGAATTTTCACGCAGTCCGTAGGAATTTCGATCGCACTCCCTACTCTGCTCAGGAGACTGTCTCTCTAAGACACTACATTCGCGAATCGGATCGAGCCGACGCTGTACGAGCGCAGAGCGCTTTCAACCAGACAATATCCTTCGGGCGATTCGTACGTCTTATATCGATCCATCGAGAGATAGCCCGCTGATTGTGAAGCTTGCTCTAGAGTTCTCGAAGCCTTTTGGAGGAGCCTTCTAAGAACCTCACAGCATTTCATGAGCGAAAGCGATGACCGCCGCCTCTAGTGTTTGGACTACTCACTGGGAGAGTCGTCTGGCAAGAATTTACTTCCTCACCTCGGATTGCGGACTTCTCTGGAGTCTGCAAACGCAATGATCGCTGACTTTTCCATCTATCCACCTGGACCGTCGTGCTCAACCGTAATCGGAGTGCATTCCCGAATTCGATTCGTGCAAGAAGCATTTGATCTCAGGCAGTGAAGCGCCCGTTTGCATCGGAAAGCTATCTGGAGCTTTGTTTTTCGAAAATATGCAACTCCAATCAATCTGGCATAGATGAGTCCACAGAAAATTCGACACATTCTCATCTGACCTAGCCCGCATGAATATTAGGTCAAGGTTGGCAGCGCTTACACAATGGATGCGAGACAGCAGACTTTCGCGCCTGCTGCTGTGAACGTCCATAAACGACTCCCTGAAACATTCTTTACGGAATGGAAGATCTAACTTGCCGATTCTCCATGCTTCACTTCATGGCGCAATTCTGCAAACGATCGGGTTGCTCATAAACGAGAATGGAAGCTGAAAACCATTTTACGTACCCCTGTGCCCCTTTTCCCCTCCTCGTTCGAGTTCCCAGAATTCCGTCCTATGTTTGGTCACCCAATGTTTGCCACCTGGGATCATTGAGTTTTGTGACGATAATGATTGTTTCTGAAACCGAAGGCCCCTGAACCCGTTCCGTGTATGAGGGACCTTTGGCTTTTCATCAACTCCATGTCGGGAAGAAACTCCTTTCTCATAGACTCTTATGGTGAGGTTCCTTATCTGATACGCTCCCCGAACGCGGGACTCGTCGGAATGACGAATACCTCGAATTAAAGACTACTGCGCTGTTCCTGCCGACGCGTCAGCTCCGACGACTCCGACGACTATCCACACCAGAATTCATAGGCCTAATGTCCGTCATTGTAAATAAGCGTCATTATGCAAGAACCATTCGAATTCGTTCCTGAATAGTTACCCTCGCCTCCTCGCGGCGTCTCTTTTTGAATGACTGTAAGATTGTCATGAGATTTGCGAGCTGCAGACGAGTCAGACAGTTCTAACTGCGTAATGCAACACTCTCTCGTTCGTCATTTCATCATTATTGTTTCATCCCACAAGTACGCGTCTATCTTCAACTTCAGCCACTCCTGTGGATACGGGGTTCTTCCGAGATCGACCTGTGGATATCTCTGTCATCCAGGGACAATTATCCCGAGCTGAGCGCCTGCCATGATACACATTCTGCCGATTCCCCAGTGGGTACGAACGACCCTCGGAGAATCCTCCCCTCGGAAATCCTCTGGTGGGAGCAAATACGTAGAAGCGGAGTTCCATTGAAAGTCCGATGATACAGCTCGGAGAGTCGTGAGACCGAAGACTGAAAGGAGATCCTGCCTTCTTGTCCGTCGTCGCCAGGGAGGCTGCGATGTCGGCCACCCCAGAATTTTTCCGTCTCCAAGACCTGCCCGTCCTCATGCCGTCGCCGATCCATGAGGTGGGCGGTTACCACTCACCACTGTCGTTTCCGAAGGTCACACCTATGGGTGCCGCATTGCGCTCATAAAGGTTCTCTGAATTCCCGAAGGCTGGCTCGCATAGTGGGAGTGATTCCCGTTGGGCCCATGGGTTGGGTACCTAGACCTCAAGTGGGAGAGATGGTATCGCGCAGGCGTTCAGCGACAAGAAACGTCTAGTAACTTGGATCCAGCGGCCCTCTGCTACGTTCCCTTGCCAGACGGCGTGATCGGCACCGGCGTTTCTACTCCAGGACATCCGTTTTGCGAATCAGACCGAGCCCCGACTTGTGTTCTTGTGCTTTGAATGCTTCCTCTTGCCTTCCGGAACCTCCGAGTGATATTAGTGTGAGTCGACTGCAATACTTCGCACAAGTGTACGCGACCGGTGTTTGTACACCGATTCCTTTATTGTTAGAAGGGTGAGTTTCCGGGGTATCGATCAAATCCCGCTACGCTATATTTTCCGGGGTATTCCAAGGTGAATGTCGGAAGGAGGTCTTTTTTCTGGTCATCGGCGACTGTGCAGAGCTAGTGCTCGCGAGCTAGTGTCAAAAAATGATTCGAACCACGAGCGCGGGACTTATTTCCTCACTCCATTTGGAATGATTCAGAGTATCCGAAAAATTATGATAGTTACAGAATTCAGGGAAGAATTCTTTTTTTGCCTCGTTCAATAGATACTACTACCGAACACGCAATCCTGATCGGTATGTTCAGTAGAAAGAGGAAACTCCAGATGGAGTTGAGTAGTTCCGCTCCAAGAAATTTCCCTTCGCAACATATCCCAAGGTTTCGAATAACTAATCGAACTCCAGCACGAATTCTGGTACCCTCCGCTCGAGAGCACATACAGATTGGAATCGCCTTCGGGGCCGAATAAATTTCCTGGGAGAGGTCTTCTCTTGTCAGCTGAATTCGGAATCGTGACAAAAGTACATCTCAATCCCTATGCACAGAACGATCCTCTGCGATGCCGACAACGAGGTTTGTCCGTACAGGAGCGTTAAAGGAAACTTTGAAAACTGGCGCCTGTACCTACATGAATGTATTCATGGATGTTCCAAAGGCCATTTTCCGGACCTCCTCGAGTCGTCTGTGATGTCAGCTTGAGAGAAATCACTCCCTCACCATGCCGAATCTCCATGCAGTTTGCCTAACCGCTGTGATCGTCGGTGGTCCTGTTGGCTATGAGGCCAGGTGTGTGGATTCATCTCGCACTAGATTCTATCTTAGCGGGGAATTTTCGAGTCGGCATTCGGAGATTCGAACCGATAGTCCACTCGAGGAGATCGCTCCGGCAACGATTGAGACAAACTCTCAATGGTGAAACTCGGAGACTTTGCCGAATTCCCCATCGGCTGATACTCGTTTTGAATGTGAATACGCGGAGGGAACGTCCCCGATCCACCGTGAGCGTCGTGTCGGTAGTTCGTCTTCGAGCTTTCGTACTTCGTAAGAAAGCTGCCTTCGCTCGAAAAAATCACATTGTGCTCAAGACCGGCAACCCGGCCGTAACGGACACTGAAGATCGCAGGGCACTTCTCACTGATGACGGCTCCGGCGATTCCCCATTGCGTAACATCGCTCAAACCGATTGCCCTTCGGGCCGGAGGCGATTCGTCCCTCTCGGGCGACGTGACAGAGGGACCCGCGGACGGGCTCGCGACGTTCGTGCTGGAGACGAATTATCATCCCTAACGATTGCGGCAAGCAGTCTGACAAGTGCGAACCCTATGAATATAACATGCTTGCTATGTCATTATCATTAGCTCTGATAGCTGGTTTCCCGGAAAAACAATTCGCAGATGTGCCGTGCTATGAAAGTCTCCAGCTGGACTTCGGTGAGAGACTGATCCATCGATCCATCGATTCGCTCCTATGTTCCTCTGTGATTATCCAGAGGGCGCGATGACATCGACCAGGAGGAAGATTCTCTGTTGTTCGAATAATCGTTTCTTGGGAAGAGAAGCCGAACGTCATGCAAGAAAATCTTGAAGAGAATGTAATCTGGGACCACGCCTACCGCGCGGTTTGCACCCTCAACAAGATGGATGACTAGCTTGCTAGCTAGCGGGTTTCAGCCCGACAGTCTAGCTCTGACATTGACATCTTTAAGGGCGACAAAACATTGTTTTTACTGTGCTGCTGGCCTTGGTATCGTCAAACACTCAGACTTCAGTCGTCTCTTTTTGAGTTAGTGGAATGTACGTATGTAAACGACCATCGCCATCGATGCGTGTTCAAGAAATTGAGCCGGAATTTCATTCGACTTTGTATCGGGCATAACTCTCTGGCGAAGATCAAAGCTCTTAAACAGCCCAAAGTGCCATTCGCGTAGCTGGGAGCATTTGTGAGCTGAGAAGTCGTCCATTCGTTAGGGACCCTGGCCCGACAATGCGGGAGCGGGAATCGGGAGCGGGAATCGGGAGTCGCCTTGGGGCGTCCATAGAGGCTTTCAATTCCGGTTTCGGAAGCTTCTCCTCCTTGCCGGCCGTTCCGGACAGAAATCACCGATTGTAACTCCGAAGGGTGATCCCTGGCCGCCCCGTGACAGGAAAAAATCGGTCTGATCCTTGGGCTCCCTCTATGGTGAGCTCAGTCGAGTTGAGCGGGTTAATTGGTCGCTGCTCGGTCGGTTTGGATACCGCCGAATATGAGCCGTGATAATTTAGGCATGAATTCATACGGCCGAGCAATTTGCACTACATTCATACATTAGAGCGTCTCCACAGGTGATTGAGGAGAAGAACATCTCATCCAGGGTCGCTGAATTCGTTTGAGCCCGAAGGTGAGGGTAATCTCTCACACAGCGATTGTTATGGTGGAATCGACAGTAAAAACCGTGCTTATGGGAACGGGTGTATTGTTCTCAAGCTATCCTCATACGTATCCGTTTCAGTATAATACCACATTGACGCATGGGTGCCGCTGAGCGGGAATCAGCTTGCGGTGATGGGCTTAAATGAGATTCGTTGGTGACAGACGGTCGGAACTTCTGGGTTACAATCAGAACGAATCCGAATCTGCGTCGGAACATCAGACATTCTGCAATCTCCCCCGAATATCAATTCGAGACGCCTGCTGCGAGATGGGTACTTGGAGTGACTTGCGTGAGGGTCGTTTTCTCGACGGAGACTGCCAGAGTGATCCGATAGCTCCGAAATGGCTCGTTCAGCGAAAATACAAGAGAGGACAACAGCTGCTAAACGAGAATGTTTTCGCGTGAGTTACAAATCATAGTTTTTAAACCAGGATAGTAATATCCTCCGGAGGGCCTCATCTGAGACCACTGAGAAATCATCCTCAATATTGCTAACTTTCTACTCTTCTTACATAAGTGAATCGTTCGATCTCCAGGGTCATGTTCTGTCACTTGGGCGGGCTCGTGATGCTCGTGAATATTTCATCTATATACTATCCTTTGGAGAAAACAGGGAATTCCACAACGCTCGTCTCCGCCTTCCAACGATACCTCCATACACTGACGCATGTCCTGAGCTGGTACGAGACAGACGTTTTCGAAGAATCCTCTGAAGGTAAAGCATAAGACTCGATAGTGTCGATATGGGCCGGATCGACGGCCTAATCCGCACATCTGAGTGAGTGCATTCAAATAGCTGCGCGTCCGCGGGGAAATGCCTCATAAGAATCGTCTGCCACGAATGGACCAGATTTTACGCGAACCTCTGGCTCGCTCGGAGCCAGATATCACAACATTACTCGATAACTCTGAAACGCTGAACTCACTGCAGGTTTCAAGAGCTTGAAACACGTACGCAGACTACATCGGAAAGCCGCCAGTATGATGACACTTCATCGAGCTCCGCTGCGCGAGGGAGAGAAGTGGATCTCACAATACGACATGGCCCTGACTCAGTTCGCGTTCATCGGCATGATGATCATTCATCCCGAAGTTCTCGGGTTCTCTCATCTTTCCGAAGAGGATCGCTTAGCGATCTGCCATTTCTGGCGCTGTATCGGACACCTGCTCGGGATAAGTGACCAGTACAATTTGTTCGACTCCGAGGACCTTCACGTCATAGAAAAGATCTGTCGCAGCATTGAAGCAGAAGTCTTCATCCCGAGCTTGACTGCGAACTGGCGGGAGGGACACCGCATGGGCAAGACGATCATGGAGTCGTCGACGAAGAATATCATTCACTTCATGACCTACAACGGGATCATGAAATATTGGAGTGAAGTGAGTGGAATAAAACCGTAAAGATGATGGAGAGTCTCCGCTCCGAGTTACTGCCAATGACTTCCAAGGGCTTCCAGCAGGAAGTGCGCCTCGGATATCCTCACCCACCGCTAGATCCAGGAAGGGGGCTGGCTTGGGCATGGAACGGGGGAATACGGGATGAATATTATTCCTAAATCTGTATATGCATCTGTTTTCCAGGTGGTCGCAATCCGATTCATGGTCCCAATGACATGCACGGATTGGTTCTACTTTTACCTGATAAAAGCGACTCTGAAGACCAGACTGCTCGGAATACAGTGCATCAGAAGATCTTTCAATCAGCTCTTACACCATGCAATCGGGAAGGCTCCTAAACGTGCAACGAGCGTTTACAAAACACTTTGCATCAGAGACAACCAAGGTGGAGTCCAAATCAAGGGCTGTCCTTTCGCTGCCGCCATTTGTTGACCTAAGCTAATCGAACAGATGCGATCATTTGATATTGCGAGGGATATCAGAAATCCTCCCCCTTCTTCCATCTGTACACTGCATCGCGCACTCAAGCTGCGGTTCTGCTGCATTATTACTCGTCAGGAACGGAAGCTCCGGGTATCAGTCTCATTGTCAGAGGAGGTTCTGCTGCCCGAGAACATTTAAACGATAGATCGATAGCATTGAGAGCATGTAGTCCCGAAAGCCGAGCTTTTTCCCGTCGATGTCTCACTCTGACCCCTGACGTCAGCTTGACGAGCACCCTACCGATTTTCACCGCACGACATCTAGAAGAGAGACGGCAGACGGAGGTGATATTCTCGAGAGGTCTATATCATTGCACAGATCCGAGGATCTATCGTTCCTCCGAGGAAAGGTTCAAGAGATCGTATTTCTAGAATCCTTGGCGAATAAATGTGTAATTCCTGCAATTCAGCTCCGTGCTCATGCTGGGTGTCTTTAATTTCATATGCCGCGAAAGTCTACGAGAATAGTCTTCATTGGATTTAGTCCTCCGGATCCGCGAAAGGAGAACTAGACAGGAAATCCAGAGCGTTGCTACAGAAATGTGTGTTCTCCGACACGGTCGGGAAACAGAAAAAATCCATCGGTCTCCCGGGAAAGTAGAATACGTCTATTCCCCGTCGATCGTGCGGATATCCGGCTCCAAGATTCTCGATAACTCCACGTCCACCTGATTATAAGGACTTCGACGTGAAGAAGACCCGAGAGCCCCATCATGCATGCTGATCAGGACGACCGCTCGGGCAAAGCCTAAAGGAAGAGGAAAATCAAGGTTTATGGTGGAGAACTTATGATCCGGAGGTCGTCTTGAGGCTCCAGCGCTACATGTGATCCTTCCATTGGCGCCTCGCGATTTTTCTCGAAGACGATAAGCACACCCTGAATCGTCAAGAGAGCTGCGATTTGGCGCCACGTGGGTACAGACTGTTTCCAAATTTCACGCCCGCAATCGTGTGTCTAGGGAAGGTTGGGAGCATGAGAGAGTGCGTCTCGGGCTTTCCGATCCCGTCCACGATTATTTTCGGGGAGCTCATCTTCGATGCGCCCGTTTGTCACTTTCCCATCGCGTCTTCAAGAGAGATCGAGAGGCAGGATCAATATAAGTACCTCGGAATAAGTCTGTCCGACAAGCCTAACTATCTCCACGAACATGATTCAGTCCTGAAGAAAAAGGTGGAAGTGGCGTTGAGAAGAATGCACGCACAATGCCTATAGACGTTCGATAAATTCGAAGTCCCCAAGATCCAATGGAAAACCACAGCGGTCCGGACGCTGACATATGCCGATGCGGTACTAGCCTCGAGGATCCAAAGAGCGCTGAATGCTCACTTCGAAAAAACGCAGATGTTTGCGGGTCGATGGGCTCCGGGCATTACTGGATACAAGGTAGCCAACGAGTTCCTCCAAGGAGAAAAAGGCTGGTCATCATTCGAGGCAAGAGAAGCTCAGAGCAGGATCCGATACTTCACTAGGATAAGTTCAATGGAGGCACATAGATGGCCGAGAGCGATGCTGTCAATGATGGCACTGACCGACACATGATTGAAATGATGAAAATTGAAGTGATGAAGAATCTCGCGGCTATCTTTGCCGTGTTTAATGTGTATCCTTTTCCCTTCCGAATCTTTATCCTGATGTTTCTCCTTGGAGGTTTGGAGTCGGAAGATGTAAGGTAGAGAGGAGCCGGAGCTTCCAGGAAAAAAGCTCTTGAAGAATTTGCGTGAATAGACTCGATGAGATGATTTGTGTTAGGCAGTCAAACGCTTGAAGATCCTACGTAACAAATACCTTGATGGGGGAATACCCATGGTATACACTAACGAAGGACGTCCACTTCTAAGTAAATTTTACAAGGAAGTGAAACTAAAAGTCCGGAAAACGCAGGACAAGGTGTGGAGAGAAGGGATGTCCCGGAAACGAGGCCTCCAGATATACAATATGTATAAAGAGAGACGACGACTGACCGCGGTCGGCACGTATAACAATAGAAGAGGCAGCAGCCCAGCGAGAGCAGGGATACTACCGACTCGAAAATACCGCAGCACGTTCCCTAACATCCACCCATACTGCTGTGTGTGAGGGATGGAGGAGGAAACTATCCAACTATCCAGCACTTGCTGTTAGAATGCACCCCACATCATTTCAATGGAGAGGAACTCCGTAAGGAGTCGGGACTCCAGGAGCTCCTGGACCGCGGAGTGCAGCGAAATACCTAGGAACTACCAGAGCAATGGGAGAAGGAGACCCGACCGATCTGCTGAGGAATCGCCCCTGAGATAAAAGGGATATGATCCTGTGATACAGTATCGCAGGAACATATGGATGAATAAAACCACGAACCATGAAAGATTCTCCTTGCTGCTCGTTTTCGCGTCTCGCCACGACCGTGCATCTATGAGAGAGGCCTTATTCCTTCAGATACTCCTCCCGGGGGCAAAGGAATGTTTTTCCAGGACAATATGCACCCATTCAGGAGTCTTGCCCCTGGTGTTCGCATGATGTCGGAGGTGACTTGATATATCGCTGCATTACGATAAAGAATTAGGAACTATTAGCTCTTTCATTGTGTCAGCTAATACCGTTTTCAGGTACTGCTCATTCAATTTTATTACTATGCTCATTTATATTAATATATCATGCTGCTTCATTGCTCTTCAGTTTCATAATGTTCTGCAGTTCTACCGACCCGGGATAAGGTATCTTGAAGCAGCCGAATGCGGATCACCAATTCCACTTCAAGTAACGGATGCCTCTACCTTGCTTCCGATCCAACGCACACCGAAGCTTGCGAATAAAGGCATCGACTTCAGACGGGACTATCGCGGAGTCTTTCTTCGTACCCCACTCCTCCGAAAGGAAGGATTAGAGGGGAGAGAGTTCGTCGCTCCATGGATCGCCGTCTCTCGTCCGGAGGAAATAGAGCCCTCCTGATGGGAATCCTTATTATTTTCTTGTGATACTCTTTTTCGCTCTAGAGAGCTTGCCAGTCGTCCGAGATTCATCGCCAGAGGACAATGACAAAGCTAATTTTACATACTGTGGGCTAAATATGACTAGATAACAAACTCGGCTTCGGTACAATCACTCTATCTTCTGTGCATTACCTAATGGATCAAGCCTGAAGTCTGGGCAAAGATATCTCTCACAATCAGAACCATCTATCCTCATGGGCACGTCGAGTGATGGGTTGATAGATGCTCCACATTGGTGGTTCTGTTGTCGGACATTGGCCGTCACCCTTCTTGCAAAATCCGAGTTTTGATAGACAATTATGAATGAATGATGTCCGAACTTCTAAGCTCTGGTTATGAATTATTCTTTGGAACCCGAAAGCTCGATTGGTCAGGCATTGGATGGAAGTATTTGAATATCCTATTCAATAAGTTCTCTATTTATAGCTCCTGTCGATCCTTACACGTCCATTATTCCTCGTATCCAATCCATGTAGAAGCTGACTCTAGTGTACAGGCCGGGAAGCAGCGGTCGTGCGCACCCGAAACCAGCGGAGACGACTCCAACCAATCTGGAAATCCATACACGGTTAGACGGCATCAATCTCATCACCGACAATCAAAGTCCATCGAATAATTTCTCAAGACATCCTCAGTTATTCAACTCACTTAAATCTACTCCCAGTGTGAACCATAAGCGGACCTCCTGAGTCCCCTTGACAAGCATCCTTTATCCCGGACGAATATCCGGCGCATATCTGAGATGCTATGAGTCTGACCTTGAATGATTTTTTCGTTTATAAGTCGAACGATTGTAGAAAGCTTCTTCGAGGCATCGATCTTGAACACTGAATTGAGTTTCTCACCTTCTTTCCGGCTTGTTTGTACCATTGGTTACAAGTGGAGCTGTTCACGAGGGGGAGATGAACCCATTGCAGGACTTCGGGTCTGAGTTTCTTGAATATGTCTTGGCCGGTGACGCTTTCTGGAATGGGTTGTCTCGAGGCTTAGAAAATCCGCTGGAAGGAGCATCTTTCCTCCAGGACAACCAGAGTATGCACCGAGCGAAGCTCGGGAGAAGCGTGCGAGCTGGAATGCCCTCTATCGCTGTCTGTCGATTTCAGAGCTCGTCTCCCATTGAGAAAATCGCATGGAAGGAGTATGATAAGCCGGAATCTCCCGCGTTCATACCGATGTCTTTGATATTTCCCCATCCAGCGACGGTAGCGTTGAGTCCGAGCTTCTCGTCCTCCGGCGCTTTCGGGAAACAGATCGGACGCACAAACTCGCTGAATATGATCTCGGACTTCAATCTCACGAGAGCAATATCGTTGTTGTATCTCTTCGGATGCGAATAGTTCGGATGCACGAATATACGGTTCACCTGGAAGAAGTGCCCCGTCAGCTGATAAACTCCTTCCGATCATGTTGGATGATTCGTAGTGTGGGAATCCACACAGCCAGGGGAACCCGCGACGATCACGGTCAATACTCGCCTGATAATCTTCTTCGAAAATTGAAGCTAGGCCCATGTGGTGTTCGCCCACTCTTGCGGTGAATAATCGGGGATTCCTGCCCTGCGCGAACACAAATCGTGTTATCTCCGGAATTCCATCAATCGCAGCGATACGTTTCGCGCATCAACTAATGCTCGCTCGAGCGAAAAATGTATGCCGCACACCCGATTGAAAGTCAAGGAGCATTCAGAACGGGGTGAGGGGATCCGAAATGGGACACTGAGACTTGTTCCTCGCGGGAGCGAGATCGTGGTTGGCGGCGACGTTGTGACTAAGTGTGGCTAGAATCCACACTTAACCGAAGAGATCAATACTCTGATCTGCGAATGCAGCTCAGGATCAGAAATTCAGAGAGAGCATATCTTCACCTGGACGCAATGCGCTGCGGTAAGCAGGAACTTCTGATGTACGATGGTCGCTCCGCAGAAATGGTCACCTCTGACGCGGAGCGACACCATCCACGGAAACTCTCCAGGGTCTGCATCACTTCCCCCAACGATCCGAGACTTGCGACTAGGGCTCTGATTTTTCTGCAATCCACAGAGAGAGCCGATGGCCCCGTTGCTGAGCAGAATCAAAGCCAGGACGATTCGGCAGGACACGAAAGTCATGATGTTCAGCACAAGTATCGCGCACCGGTGCTTGCTCGGATAAAATCCGCGCAGTCACTGATGAGTGTCTCTAGCCGGCCTAACGTCCTGGCTCAATGTGATCATGTTTCAGCAAGGGAGCCGAACATTCAACGGGACTCGCAGCACTTGCACGACGAACTAACGAACACAACACAACGAAGAACATGTGGCATGACAAGTCAGACTTTGGCAGCGGTATCTGCCGCTCGCCGGGAACAACACCTCGGCCGCACCCTTCCCCAATAAACGAACCGGCGTTTCGGCCTTGACCAAAACGGCTTCACAACCAGATTTTGGTGGAGCTCATGCTCTGTCAGAGAGACGCCGACGAGCAGGACGTAGACAAATGAACGGCCAATGACTCGCGGGTCGTATGTGAGAACAAAGGCGACAATCCACCAGAACCCCGGTTATAGTTAATCCGATCAATCGATGATGGCAATATCGATTCCAATGGTCCGTGTAGTCGGTGGCTGCATCGGCAACAACGTATGATCACAACTCTCCGCACTTGAGATGAAGCAACTGCGGGGCCCTTATGCGAAACCGGAAGCTGACTCCATCACAAGCTTCATCATCAGCGGCATTGGCATCATCATTGGTACCATCGGTCGGTCGATCGGCCCAGTTATGTAACCACGAGCAGCTTGCTTGGCTGCTTGGGAGTCGCGCAGAGCCGAAGGGGCGGATGGGCGACTGCCGTGGCGCCTGCTAGACGCTTACTGTCGTCCGAATCCATACCGTAAATGACTTCGCCATGTCCCTTACGTTGACAGCGAAGACGAGATCTTACTACGATGAGCGGCGATCCGTCCGCAGTCACTGTCAAGGGTTGGACCTCCTGCACGTTCAATGGCTCATTCCAACCCTCTCGGCTCTAGCGTGAGGATGGGGACTCGTCCAGGTCATTGTCATCACGGTCCCGAATCTACGCGATACTTCAGCGACCCAAAGCGACGAAAGCGTCATTTGATGATCGATCTCCGAGTGATTCATCGATTGATTGATTGGTTGGTTGAATCGAGTTCTTCTGATCCCAAGCTTCTGAGACCCTCTGCCTCTCCTCCTTCCCCCTCGTACCGTGATATGCCGCGGATTATCTTCCGAGCTGGGAAAGCATGGGGCGAAACATTGTAGGATCCTCACCGAGAATCTTAGGAAGTCCGTGGGATAGGATCTGGAGTATGTCGCTCACTGATGGTCGAGCCTCGGAAGGGACTTGAGGTAAGACAAACTTTATTGGAAGATGTCGATGCCGGGAAGGTTTCAACCCGAAGTATCAAACGATCAGCAGGGCGCTAGCTCTGCGGTAGTGCTACACGCATTGAATCTTTTGACCAAAAGTCGATGATCGATTGGAAGACTCGGAATTTGAAGCGGGAGGGAGATTGCCCTATGCCTCTGCGGCGAGAGGAAGTTTACCTCAATCTACGATTCTCTGAGGCCGCGGGCAACTCAAGCAGCTTTGCTTGTCATCGACAAAAAGGACTGACTCGCATAATTCCTGACACTAAGAAAAAAAATTACGGACTACTTGGCTTGGATTTCCGCCTCCTGGGCGGGATGGATGCTTGAGTACGTTCAAAAAGTGAAGGGACTTATCTTGAAATCTTTATTCTCTCCTCGCAGTGGGATGCAGGGCAATATAAAATGTTTGCGCGAATTTCTGTGATCCACAATTATTCTCCTTTTGCATTTTCCAAGCGATTATTTACAATCACACCTTATCTCATTCAGACCAAATGATGAAATGCACACTGCGCCAGTCGCATGACATTGGCAGGATCGTCTCTGAAAAACGAGTCAAAACTGCTCATCAATATATCGTGATGCGGCTGAGACCTGGCACCTCTTCCCTCCGGATCGGAGATCTTCTCGCGAATTCATGCACCGGAGCGAAGATTCGATGCCTCCTCATTCAATCTCCGTACCTTCCCTTTGAAGTTTTAGGAATTCCTTCCCTAGAAGACTTGGGCGTAGAGGCTCTTCAGATTGACCAGCAGCAAGAAATTCACGCACAGAGCGATACTCTGGAACAAAACGGATCGGGTGAGTGCAGGTTTCCGAGATCCATGTCAAGACTGACCAAGCGTAGAGCTTCTTATACCCTCTCTGCACTGACCTGGACCAGCACCAGAGATAGCGAGAGACCTCCGAGGCCTGCTCCGATTCTCTGCAGGTGCACTCGCATGTTCTCACTGCAACCCTGTAAAAGACAAGTCGATCCGTTACAATCTAAAACGAGCTACCTCGACGAGTTATTCGGGATCAATATCTGGTTCATTTATGGACTGACATAGATGTAGATATTGTTCGTTCTGTAGTTCGAACAGGACTGTGGAATTGTGAGATGATTCCGCTTGTAGTCGGTTTTGTCGACGGCGCCGCAACATTCCATCTGGGGATGTGAACAAATTAGAGAGTCGATCGTCGAGGAAAAGCGGAACATCGTGAGCGATCGGGAAGTCTGCCTTCTGGACTCACGTGAATTTGGAGGAGGTCCATGAAGCGCCGAGAGAATTCATTGTTGTAAATGCTCACTAGATTCCGATTGATTTCATTTTCCATGTATTTTTGGAGCTGGGCAGTGGGAGCAGAGAAACCTTAATTAGTGTCTCTGATTCTCGTCAAATTGGAATTCTCCCCAAAGCTGAATCTGGAGTTCCGGAGCATGAGTTTTGCGTCTTTTTTGAGGGAAACCAGTTTTCTCTCATCGGAGACGAACGTTGAACTTCCTTCTCGTGACCAAGACGGACTGGTTGGCAATGGAAAGTCTTCCGACCAATCAGCTGGTGTCCACGAGTTCAATGAGGGAGGTTCGCTTGCATACTAGCCCACGGAAGCGTTGAATCCGTGGTCGAGTGAAGTTGGCGATATGCATCGAATATCCCTTGTAGGTTACGTTTGTCTTCGGATAGCGAACCCGTGACCCCTTGATCGAGACGTTCTGTCGTGCGCTGGTGAAATAATTGCGTATCTTCCGGCTTTTGCCATAATTCTGATGCATCCGTCACTTGGCTTTGTTACTACCGCATAAAGCCGTCGATGAGGTTGCCGCCGTCGCAATGGCAAATGATGCAGATGCTCATAACAATGTTGCCATTTTGTCAGGCTTGACCTCACTGTCGCCATGTCAAAATCAGAGTGATCCCATTGTTCGTGAGCGTTCAACGATGAGTGAAGCAAGTGATATCATCCGTACTTGCCAATAATTATCGCTCCACGAAAGTCTAGCCATCACGCTCACAACTCAGGAAAGGATCTGGTTATTTCAGAAAACGTATTGAATGGCTGTCAACTTACCGCTTCTCCGCTCGGAATCTGCCATACCAATATAGCGATCGTAATCTCCAACACTATGAAGAAAACCGTGAAGATCATGTACTGCAAGGGAGGGAAATGATAGCTTGCTCAGAGAGCTTCATTGGGATTGCCGATTAGATGGAAGATTCCCCTATTCTGGAATATTCCTGGACTCTCGTCACTTCTCTTCCTGAATAGCTAACACGTCTTTGTAAGAAGGGGAACCCTGCGACTCACGGTCCATAGAATGCAGGGGCTGTCCACGAATGTTCCGACGCATCCCATGAATCCTACGACGAGCAAGAGTGCACCGACGACCATGGCAACGTAGCAGGCCGCATAGTAGTTCCCAAGATTGAGATGTTCCTGGAACTCCCAGAAGTTGGGATCACTCCTGATCCAAATTGAGAGGAACAGGAGCGTCAGTCCGAGAAGCTGAAATTAAAATTTTGAAACCTCCGTGAACTCTTCCCCGATATCGGTACGCTATGTTTAATCCCTACGCCTTATTGGGGGTCCTCGACGAGCGTTGCGGCGGTAACATTGGTTCGTTCGATTCTGCTCTCTAGGAGATCTTCATGGCCGGAGCGATAAGAGCAGATAAAAACCCCGATAGTTGGCTGCTAGGATGAATGAAGGGATAAATACCCGGACCCAAGACCAATTGAACGGTGGTGGTGTTCGCAACGACGCTAGTGTTTGCCCGGTTCCGCTTTCGAGGAAAAAAACTTGACGCCGGTTCGGCTGAGGGCCAAACCGAAGTTCGCGTAGAACTACGGAGAATGCGCTCGTTTAGAATGAGTGGAGCACTCAAATGGATAATTTGGGCTCGCGTTTCGAGCGTGACCCTTTATCGAAACGAGAAAGTGAAGGATAGCAACGCCCGCGCGGTTTCACGATCGAAAAATGTCGGCTCTGATCATTCAACAATCCCGATACTAACGCTCAATTACCCTGCGACTTCACTGTGTCCTCTCTCTTCTCTCGGACGCATTACTTAATCAGACCTATACGGCTTTCCGTTAATCTCGACTCATAATCTATCCCACAACCGGCAATTATTCACAAGCAACCTTCATTTCACCTCCCGATGTCTTCTTGAGATATTTTCTCGAAGGACGGGTCGTCGCGCCACCGGAGCTACCTGTAATTCTATGAGAGATATGAGTTCTATGTGCAGGTGTCGAACTCATACACGATATGCTCCGAGAGAGAGCTGCGGGTGCATCCATTTTAGCAGCGTTTGTCGGCTAGTCTCGTCGGAGCAATCCGCCTTATTGAGAAGTCATCGCCGATGACATGGGTCATGATCCTGCCTCGCAATCTGAATCGTTTGTTCGACATATCAGATCCAAATTAAAAAAATAGGAGAGCCGTATCCACGATGTGTTCGAGTAAACTATAATTCATTGAGGAATGAATGATCATCCCCGCGCGTCCAAAAAATCAAGCCCACGGAGTCTCGTTTCTCCAGCTCTAAGATTGATGGGTTTGATAGGTTGATTGAATTGATCAATGATGGGATTGACGAAGAGCTCCTCGGATTGTTGCAAAATGAACAGGAGCCGCCATCGGCCGCCCCCGCCGGCAATTGTGGCCACTACTTTCCACTGAAAGTCGAAGTTCCCGTTTCGGGAATGAACGACATCGAGAATTTCGATTTCACCGAAAACCAAGTCGATTACCAGAATCCGCACTGTCATTATATTGGACTGAGGGAATCTCCTTTGGTTCCTTCACCATTCATTCCTGTCAGCGCGGCTTCGAAGAGGAGCGGCCGCCGCTGTGGCGCACTGATTCCTGATTCCAATCGGTGCGGCTGTCAGAGAACAGCCGCGGCAGCGAACGCAGCGCGCAACACGACGAGCGCGGCTACAGGTCAAATAGATCTGCCTTAGAGCCTATATCTTTCCGCTTGCATAGAACTTCTGACGCGGTTGAGAGCAATGTTCTTGCTGTGCAGCATTCAAGTTTGGAATCCATGACGAATTTCGTCTACAGGCAAACACTGAGCGCTCCACATCGTGGGGGGAGATGTGGAACTTCTTCGGACTGGACTGCAGAAACAGAGATTGAGGTTTCGGAAAACTGCATGATTCCACAACAGAAGGGCTCGACCTTATGCCACCACTCGAAGGCGCTACACACTCGAAGACCCGTCAGTCATTGACCCGGCCTACCACGGAGCCAATGCAGTAGACCGTGAACGCCAAGCGCCATATGATCAATTTTGAATTTCTACTCCTCTTCGGGCGCTTCCGGTGCTCTCAGTGGGGGAGCTTTTGTGTGAAATGGGGGTGCGCAGAGAGTCACGTACATGGATGCCGAGCTTAGTTCGTAGGTTTCCAACCTCGAGACAGTTTTTCCGGGTCTTTTGACGCCGATTCCTGTTCGACAAAAAACAGTGACTTCCGTTACACGAGATTTCACCAATAGCCCCTCTAACGAGCGCAATGACGTAGTTCTACGTCAAAACGTCGATGACACATGTGAGCGGGCCGCTTGGCTATTTATTCAAGAGGCATCAGCTTTGAGCAAGCCAGCAACGTCCCTTCGCAGGGATAAGTTTGCTAAGAAAAGTCTTCCTGCAAGGTCGGAGATCTATCCGTTTCAAAAGCTTGAAGCGTGAAAATTTTTAGTCGCCAGAGTCCGGTGGAAACTGTCGGAAGAATGAATGAATTCACACCATCCCCGTGTGGATGCTGCGGTTGCTGCAGCTTCCGTCCTGTATAGTGAATATCGGATGTAAACCACAACCTTCCGTGCTGAGATACTGTTAATGAGCGGCCGTATAGCCGATTGGTGAGCTCTGGTCCCCACAGTCGGGACAATTCTCAAATCTGAAGTTGAACGTCCATCTCGCGCGCGGCTCGGAGCGAGACGCGCGTAGCCTAGAATTCGGCGCGGGTACGATCCGCGTAGATCCGGGAGATTCCTCCAGGAGTCAGGAGACAGATGCCCCGTATCCGGCACTTCCGGAATCGAGGCGCCGACAACTCAGGTGCTCTTCGGCTCCTCTCCCAATGATGAGAGACTGCAGCATTCGAAAGCCATTGTTGGTTATAGTTAAGCCGTTTCGCGAAGAGTGAAAAGTTTCTTCTCGAAGAAAAGAGCCTGTCAATCAAAACCAGGGTCAACGGGCCATCATACCGCCGTTCAGATTATTCTGTTTCTTGTGTTGTAACAAGAATCGAAAATCCTCGGCTACGACCTTCAGAGGCTCTTCGAATGACACGGATTTCTACCGTTCGGCATACGGTGAGTACGGTGGAGCTCCAGAGCCTTTATCTCTCCTCGAAGTTCTTCGACGAGACGTGATTCGGGAGTTGACGTGGTTGTACGGACACGGGCTCTCTTCTCTGAGTTCGGTTGTCATCGAATGTGCCGTAGATAATAATGAGGATCGCTCATTCGTTCATGTCACTCAGTGCCTCTAGCACAGAACCTCATCGAGAAAAACTGATGGATATTCGTTTGAAGTCGAAAAAGCCCAGCGATTTGAATTTTCAAAAGCTCGTGCAACGACAAGTCAATATTTCGCCAAGTACTCTGAATGACAGGTCAATCAAATGAGCTACCGATTGATTGACTGATTGATGAAGTTAAGAATCCGTTTTCCCTGTTCAAGCTGTTTGTGAACTTCCAACAAGGTCCAAGAGTCTTAACGTAGCGATCATGGAGCAGCGAGCGAGCTCCCTCTTGAGACGAACACGCCCTGTGAGAGATTAGGTGCGAGCGCAATAAATGCTGGACTGACTTAGCCCCATCGTTTCTCGTGCGAAGCGAGCCGCTTTCCCAAGCCCACCGCGTAAGGGAAGTCGAATCGTATTAAGGCCGTCGAGTAATACGTTATGATCAAAAAATCACAAGGAAGCTCTTATTTGTAGTGACTATAATATAGACAAAATTACAAGGCTCGATTCCGGGCATGAGAATTTTCCGCTGCGGAGGCGGAGAGAAAATGTTCTCCACAAGTTCTTTATGAAGGCTCAAAGCTTCTACAGCCCAATCCCGTGCGAGTCCTTTTCTCCCTTTCTCCAGCCAGACTCATCCGAACATAAAACCCGCGTCTTGACTCATTCTCGAACATCGAAGCGTAATCGAGTCGTTCGTTTCGATAGAACTCGAGAACCAGAATGATATTTCTAGAAAGATAATATGACCGATCAGGATGGGCTGAATATAACCAAGGGGCAGGGATTGACAGGGCTTCGACCATTCGAATATTAAGACTTCGGCCGATTAATGATAGACTGCAGTGCTGTCTCGTAGTTCTTCGAATATTCGTCGGGCACCCTTTATCAGGTGCATGAATGTCTCGACGGAGATCTGTCGTTACACGTCATAGTCAACAGCTCCTGAGTATGATCTAATCGTTGGCCGAAAATAAATGGCGGAATGGGTGGAAACGAGCGGGGTGACCTACGGAATCTTTTGGACAGTCCGAGGTGATCCGCGCGGGGATCCGCTGTTCCAGAAGATCTGTGTTTTCCACGAAAACTGAGCAGTGTGTGAGGGGGGTAGGAATGAGCGATGCCACAGAATACAGCGAAGATATGGAGGAAACAGACTCGTTCGCGTCGTCGAAACCGCTCCGGCGAAAAGCTTGCTGCTCGAGCGCTCTCGGCTCGGACTCACCCAGATGATGAGGCTGATTACGAAGTTAACTTGTTTGAGAATGAAGGTTCCAAGCTCCATGGTGGTCACAGCTATTCAGGGATGGAACACACAGAACTGAATTTCCGACACGAACTCTCCGAAATTTTCCGTACTAGGAAGCGAGTGCGCTCGACTCTTCGTTCGACCGTCCGTGTTGCTGGTCGTCTTGCGCAGACTGGCACGCCCTAAGCTTAGCTTGCTTCCAAAGTTCGCATTGCTGGGAGCTGACGACTCCCTTAAAGTCAGCGTTTGTAGGCAGCGCTGTCTCAGCGTAGAGCTCTCGTTTACGGTTACCGTCGATGGCCGTATCCGCGGCAGCCTCGGTCGCTTGCTCACTAGTCTGTTCGTCTGTCTGTCTGTCCGTCTCTCGATGAGTCCATTCATCGCCTTGGCTCGTTCTTCGCGTTGTGCGTATGACGTTCGTCCGATCCTTCGTAGGAGTTCGGTTTCTCTGTGAACAGCTTGCGGGACCGACATCGACAGGCGTAATCTCCTGGGGATCACCCACGGTTCTTGAGACCAGGACCTCGCTCGCCAGGACATCCGAGTCCATCAGCATGAGGGACTGATCCCTAAATAATATGGAATAGGGTAGGAATCGATCCTCCGCGCACTCTTCCGAGAGAGATTCCTGGAATGAGCATCCCTCCGTCAAGGGCGGACTAAGAGTCGTGATCTATGGGAGAGTCGGGAAGCGCAAGGTCCTGAACCAAAGCTGGAATGGTCCGCGCAGCGAAATCATTGCGGGAATGATGAAACAAAAAATATTCGATAAAGGCAGAGGGAGATCAGAACCCCGTCGCCTCTGAATACGCATGTGTATAATCGATATGATGATAAGAGGAAGGCGCGGAAGGGCTGATTCTCATCGAGGTACTCCGTTTTTTGCGTTCGGCGGTCAGCGCTCAGATCTCTAGGAGCATCCGGAGCCTTCGTCATTCAATTTTCGCGGGGCGATCATTCGTCCGTGTCGCGAGTCAGTGTGCTGAGTCGGCCGCCGACAGTGAAAGTTGAAGCGGTCTTAGTCACGCGAGTACATGGGCTGTGACGATTGCTCCTTATCTGGGCATTGTGTCTTTGTCTCGATAATCTCTTCCCTTTCCTCTCTTCCACATCTCTTACCTTCGTGCGGCAGTGGAGAGCTTCTCACCTTTGCGGGGAGAGTACTGAAACAGCCGACGGGAAGACGATAATTTTCGCGACATTGCCAATCCAATCCTTGTCACCAAAACATATCGCCCCATTTTTCGCTGAGCTCATTTACAGCACTCTGCAACTACAGAAAACCTTACAAGTCTCAGAAAGCAGAGCAATCAAGGAAGCAAACGTTAAGACGATATTGTTCGCGCGCTTTCGGCAGAACAACGACAACAACAACGGGTAACCAGATCGTGAACGCTCACACGTGTTAAGAGCGAACAACTCCTGCGGGGAAACTTCAGAAGACTTCGGCTGAAAGTAAAAACTCGTGAACACTAATGAGGTTGCTCTCGTAGCGCTCGAGATCGGCTTCCCGAGACTGGAGTACTCGCGAATTTTCTTCTTCTCAAACATCCCGTGCAGAAAATTTCTTTACTTCCTACTCGATACCCCTCTGGGATTATATTCTCAGTGCATCTCGCATATGCAATGGTCAGATAAATGTGCCGGATGAGACTTTCGGTGAGGTCATCTGATGACGAGCTGATTTTTCGATTCCCGGGTCGACCAATATCATCAGAATACCAGGCGTTAAAGTGCTTAAGTCAGTGCCTCAGCAACGGAACGATACTCCCACGAGATCCCCTTCGGCAAGGACGAATCCTCGCTGCGATGAGCCCAGGCCCGAATCCAGCGCTGCGGCGGGAATTCTGACATTATCTTGGATCGGAAGTTTCGGAAAGCTGCGTCAATTCGGATCAATGATTTGTGTACGCGAAATGTAGCGGAGCAGAAATGAAGTAGGTATTGAAAGCCACTCTAAAGCCCGTATTCATTTTGCCTAGTGAGCCTATTCATCCTATCCGTCTCGTCCGACTTTCCTGTATGGAATGATTCTCGACACATCATCAGCGCTGCCTCATGTTTCGTCCTGCAAGATGATATCCCGGATGGAACAGCTGGTGCGAGGAATGAAGTGACCACGGCGCTTTCGCCACGTCTATCGAGGGCGGAAAGAATCGCAAGTTGGGAAGGCTGTGGTCTTCAAGAGTTGCGGCCAAGATTTGATTCTGTAACGTCACGGATGCAATTCGAAATTCCCGTCGCGCCACCCTTTCGGATTCGATTCTCCAGACGAATATCATCGCAGTGGGGACAGATCGTCGAGAACCTGCGGGGGTTAGAACGCAGGTCTTGTGCTAAAGCTCTTCGATCGACGCATCAATGGGGCTCCCAATACCAATGAAACGAAGAGGGGAGACAGTGCAGGAAAAATGCTTCGGAGAAGTCCACCGAATCCGCACCCAGAGGGTGCGGCGCCAGGGGCACGTACCCCTGCTGCCCATCCCTCTCTATTCACGCCTTTGGGTACTGGTCTGGGAATAGGAGTCAGGAGAAGCATTCTCCGGTACTCTCCTGCAAGAAGAAACTATTCTTGGCTCGTTTCAACGCCACGTCTTTTACTCGCAAGCGCGATATCCCCCCGAGGCCCACCCATCCATTTTTTGGAGGACTACGAGCATCTCGCCATCCCATGAGAATGCTGGAGATCAGAAACTTTGGTGTTCCTCTATTGAGGAAGATTTAAAGCAACGAATTCAGTCGATGTCCACGAGCTTCGCGAAAACAAGTCTTGCCGCGATAAATGATGCTTCGAGTTTCTCTGGTCAATTGACCATAAGTCAATTTTGGTGAAGAGTCGCCAGTACGTGGAATTGCCTTCTTGGCTCTTATTCAAATTTGCTTCGACTTCAACGAGAAACCTAGACCGGCGGGGGAACAAGTGTGCGTGTGTGAACGATCGTCGAAAGAGCCTTCTAGCAGAAACAGTGACGGCGGAGGCGACGGCGGCAGATCTGCTGGCAATGTATCTTTCTTGTGTGGTGTGAGGTCTTGTGTCTTGCCACAAGCCCTCACCGTCGCTTTCGCTAGCGCGCAGTCCGACGAAACTTCAGCTCTGCAACGAAAAGCAACAAAAACGGTTCAAGTGGCGAAGTCGGTTTTCTCGTTCGCTGAGTTCAGTGTTTTCAGCCGAGTTGGATTGCTTCTCTCTCAACATACTTTCGAAACGGTGACATTGCGGAACAATCGTTCTTCACCGCATCTTCGCGTAGGTGATTTACGCACTCGAGTCCCAGATGGCTTTTAAAGCCATAGTTGCGCTTGCGTGCGCGCTGGCGATCATGGGCACAAATAAAGGTGTGTTTACGGTGCATGGAGTGAAGAATGTAGGCAGTTCAGCCCGGCAATATTTGCCGTCCTCCACGGAGAATATCGGAGACTTCTCGCTGCGGCTTTTGTCGACGATGGTGTTGTTAGTTTTGTTGGACGCAGTCTTTCGGACTCTGCGCTCCACTCATCCAGAGGAGTAACAGACGGAGCATTGCGTAAGTCAAGGCGGAATTCTGCTCCATACATGTACATGTTCCTCTCTCGAACGGAGTACAGCATAAGGGAGCATGCTCCATTTTTGATGGAATGCTGGGAATGCCGGACAAAGCGAATATCGCGCAATGTCCACTCATATCTCAAATGCTCTACGTCAGAACTCTGACTTACGTCGCGTTGCCCATCGGGCCTGTCGGAGACTGAGACCAGTGTTCATCGTCATCTGCTGAACGAATCTCTGCGTCGCAACAGTTTCCGAAACGAAAATCGTGACGTACGACGACAACTCAAATATGCGCCTCGCTTACGATGTGCTCGTCGATACCAAAAAGGAATATCACTGACATAAGAGCGGCGGTATCCATGGAAAGGACGACCTGCTCTTATCGAGGGTATTTCGGGAAACCCAAGCGCAGGACGATAAGGCTCGCAAAATGAGAACGAGGACGGGGATCGGCGAATTCTAACTGTTGTTGAGGTTTCGAGAATTTAGCCCCCAATGCAACTCTTACCACAATGTCTGTAACCTTGACACGAAGGTCCGTCGGGAAGGCGTTTCTAGTCGCCGAGCTCAAACTATTGTTGAAAACAGAAAAACAAGCACGGTGCTCGGACAGAGCGAAACTGTTGGACACCGAAAACGAAGCGGGTTCTGATGCCGGACACACGGAAAAACTCGGTAATGATCCATAATTTCCGTCGAAGGTCTGCGGGAAATTTTGAGAGTCAATCCACGTGCCTCTCGAATTCACGAAAATTCACGGCAGTGATCAATGCGAACCCCGGCTGATGCATCGAAATTATTCGGGAGAAGACCGACGGATCGGCGCGTCTGCTCCAAATCAGAGCTCAGTCTTCGCAATGTTGGTTGCTCGTTTGTTGGGCTCTTTTGCCATTGGAATTTGGTTTTTGCGCTGACCAGAAACCAACGGGCGCTTTCTTGCTCTAGAATCTGCGAGGACTGGCTAGAGCTCATTGCTTAGAGCATAGCGCTCTACCTCAGAGCGATTTTGAAGTGAAAGCCCGCAACTCATGCGGAATGATTCTCGGCTCCATCGGGATGGCATTCTGGATGAGTTTTCTGAATGCTGGCGGCTCAGTGACCGTTCTCCTCCTGAATCGAGAGCCTCCTGACCCTCATCGCAGAGTCTCGGAGTATCTGTGATATGGAGGTCTCTCCGGGCACTCCCACAGCAGACGCATCAGTGTTTCGTCAAGTCATTCTAATCCGAATCCTTGTGTCTGCTCAGGGATCCATATATCATTTCTCAGGCCCAGCGGTGTTGAATAATCACTTCTGGGTGATGAACCCTCGTTCATCACATTGATTCACACATCATGACACGTAAGTGAATCGCAGAAATCGATGGCTGGGGTTCGATGGCTCGTGCAGTCGAATCACACCGCAAAATTCACGGAATCTGGCTGCAGGCTCCGCGGGAAGTCTTTGCTGGACGAGCTCCGCTCGGAGTTCAAGATAAGACATTCGAATTTGATATCACTCCTCCGCCTGACCCCGCCGTGGCTGGGAAGCAGAGAGTTTTGCGAAAATGCGTTAGACCAGCCAACCCTCAAGCCCGGAGGTACCGTTGACGCTGGAACCAAAATCACGAGATAATGCCGATCAGCCAACGGTGACCGTTGTCTCGTTGAAGGTATCGGCGGTCTTTTCGAACTGACCAGCATCGGTTTCGGAGAGCTCAGAAGAAAAAAAATCCATTATCTCCCATTTTTACTTGGCCAGCAGGGATAATATTCTTACGCGGAGCTGCTCACTGCCGAGCCCCGATTGGTTGCAGTCTGCAGCGGATACGGCGCAGAGCCGAGAGCTCTCAATCGCAATATTCCCGCTATGGTGAAAGCTCTCGACTTCTACTGCCGAGTCGGTGAACCTTGCGGAACGATCCAGAATTTCGAGAGAGCAGTATTCGAAATTTCGGTGATTTTCGGCGAAAGTCGTCGCGCATTTGCGAACATCGTGAAAGCGAACTTTTCCAGCTATGGAAATGGACGGACACAGAGAGCGAATTCGGATTTGGCCTTCGACCTTCGAAGCATCCGTTTCAAACACATTCGCTCTGGTGGTATTGAATAATGATATTTTGATGTCAGTTATGCAAGTTCAAGCAGTCGCTCCTCATAACTGATGCGAATTCAGCACTCCATGCCGTTCGCGTCATTTCTTCTCCCTGCGGTGATACTTTGCAAAAGTTCACCTGGACCCATCGGGCTCCGGCTGATTCGGTGCAATTCTTCTCTTTTGCTTGAGTTGGATGCTTTCGGTCTGCCGGACCTATTTCTCTTTCGAACCATCTAATCCAATGACACCGTCTTCTCCAAGCAGCGCATCTGCAGCCTCAGGAAGATTTCTTTTCTCATTCTTTGCTCAAGCTTCTGTCTTGGTTCCGGCATTTTTTTAAAAGCTTGGCCGTCGCTTCTGTACAAAGTTTCACTTACCAATTCACTTTCTGGACACAATGATTCAGCGCAGACAGCTATCCGGCAGCCCAACTGAAAAATGGAGGAGCGGAGCCGCGGATGAAGAAGCCCCGGAAGAGCTTCGGTGTATGTGGGGAAACTACCAAAAAAAAACGAAATCACGGAACGCCCAATGAAGGTCTTTTCTGTTCGCTGCGGGATCGATGGGGGCCGGCTTCCCCGTGATCTGCTCAGTCGTCGCGGTCGTTTAAGTGTTTCGCTTCTTGTTCAAAGTACTACCCTATGCGAATACTTAACCATCGACCACGGTATCCAACACCGTCGCAGGCGAAGCTCGTAAACTACTCGGGCGAAGATTCACTTAATGAAATGTCGTCAATTTACCTTCTGATTTACGACACACACCGAGCCGTTTTTCCCTCTTCGATTGACGCTCCTCGCGTTTCCTCTTCAGCTCGTGTGTAATCTTATTTTAATTTATTCGAACTTACTCTATAACTAATCTATCCCTGTCACTTTAGTCCCTCATTTCGCCGTCGGGACGTCTCCTCCTTCCGCGATAAGGCACCGGGTAGCTCTTCCGGTGACCGCTGCCGCATGCATATACTCATGAAGTAATTCTACACACAAAGCTCCGACAGGACTGGGCTGCCCGTATGTCGACTGTACAGCTGGAGGGATTCCATGAGTCAACGAGAAGCAGACGGACCATTGACTGGCTCACTGTAATTGTAATTAGTCACATGCCCTTTCGTATGCCTCATGACATTACCGTCTTCTCATTTTTCCATCTTGGCCCGCTAGATTTCGTCCAATAGTCACAACTACGATCGCTGGTGCTGGCAGGAAGGGAAGCGACTCCTCGCTATCCCATAAAGTTCCGCAGATGTCGGAGCCGATGCTCGCACCGATGTCCACACCGACGCTTCCTCCGCCGGAGGGAGGCGACGCGGCGTCGCTTTATTAGCATGGCAATTGGAGGTACTACGTAACGCAGTGTCTCGCTTCCGTTCCGGTGGCTCCCTGCGCGCTTTTCCGATGAATCCGGCTCGGTGTGAGGTGGAAATATTTTAGGGGAAATCACCGAAAACGCACAGCGTGCGGGTTTTTTCAAGCTTGGCTTTCAAAAATAGAAAGCCTGGCCTGCTGACTGTCCGCTCGCGCATCTTGAGGAAGGAATGCAGCTCCGTAGGAGAAAATCTGGGCCAACGCTAGGCGGCGAGCAGTGACGACACTTTGTTCGTCGCATCCGTTTGCCTATCCATCCATCTGCCCATTCATGTGGTGAGCCGTGTGACCAAACATGCGGCATTTCGTATTTTAACGTACACTTTATAACGAGCGGCCACGATTCGAAAAAGCTGCTGGCGCCACCGACGTCACAATTTCATCGCTTGCTCCAGGCTGTGGTTTAAGATCCGCCGACGACGGCGCGGCATCTAGAGAACACTACAACAAGTATTACAGTCGTCGTCGCCGCCGCCGCCGCCGTCGTCGTCTTTATGCCCATCATAAGTGATAGTTGCAGCGGGCAAAGCATCGCCGGAACTCATTACAAAACGTAATTAGAGCTCCCAATGCGTTCGTTAGCTTGATTTATCCTCCCGGCGGACCACAGGGAACACAGACGAGCTTCTGTTGAGGGAAAAATCAAACTGTATCAGTTTCTCGTAGCGCTCGACACTTTCACCGCTCGGACCAGTTTCCGTATAATCGAGTCTAGTGATAATATTTCACTCAAATTATAAGTTTTGCTTGATGAGGAAACACCGGAATGCTTCGCAGTCTATGCGACTGCGAGGCCGATGTGACGCTGACGACGAGCATTGTGCGCTTCTCCATTATATTGACGATATCAGGAACTCACTGATAAATGAAATGAGTAGAATTCCCGTTCGATTTTTTCCTGAAGCTCTGACAAATCTTTGATAGAATTAAGTATCGGTGTTTCGATGGATGTGAGCGAATCTTGCTTAGAGTTAAGCTCTCGCCGATCGCGGCTCATTCGGGAGACTGAGTCAGAGAAGGCATCTATCGGCAACGTAACCGAAGATACGCGGGGTCTGAATGGAGCCGTTCTTTCGATTCGATGAGCGAAAGCTTCGAAGTCTCCGACTAGCGTATATCTGTCGCAATCTGATGCGGATTCTTTCTGACTAACTGTAGGCGCATAACGCAAAGCGTTGGGACAACATAGGTTGCGTAGAGAAAAACGGTACATTCGCGGTGCGCAATCAGAGATGATTATTTGGCCTTCGAACAAACCAGATAAGCTGATAGTTACTGTTCTTCGTGGCGGAAATGCAAAGCCTGATGCGGGCTATAAAGCGTGCCTGAACGAACTCATCGTTTTCTGTATTCGCTCTGTCGAA